ACTTTGAAAGTGCTTGCACGATTTATTGATTAGAACAATAGTGATTAGAGCTATTAGCAAATGATACTACAAAATAAAATGCAAGAACGGTCACTTCTGTTTAAGCTAAGTTGCACGATATAAAACTTTGAACCATCAAAATAGCATAGAAAATCAACAACATACACATATAGTAGCTGTCAACGAAAATCCCTAATCTAACAATAAGATTAGAAAACAAATGAAATGCACTCAATTCCCTACGTTTACTAAGCTTGGCAGAAACGGGCAAACGCGACCTTCATGACTAAAATCAAATCACAAAGAGAGGATCAGACTTTAAGAAATACAATAAGAGGGAGATTAGAAAACCTTCATCAATGATCGATTGTAATCCTCCACTCGACGGTTCCAAGTTGCTCTTCAATAGCCTCAACTAAGGTATCCAAGATGCGCTCTACGTACTCTTCTACAGTGTGGTCGACGCACTGGTTGACATCGAAAAAGGTCGAATGCAAGATGCACACAAACCCTTGCTCGTTGTAGGAGAGGCCGTAGTCAAGATCTGGGTCGGCCATTCATGAATGCTAGGCGACGATCGCTTCCAGAGATTACTAGCAATCTTGGACTCCGTTAAAGAGAAAGAAGTTTCTCTTTAACTTGAAGTGGGGATGAAGAGGTGTGGCTGGCCAAGGGATGAGAGTTGGGAGAGGAGAAGTAGGTTAAGAAGGGAAGAATAAGTTAAAATCTGAAATAAGTTTTAGATTTCTAATTGGGAGGGATTTTAGGAAATAAGTTTGAATTTAATTCCAAGAGGGGAAGGGGTGTTAATGTGGAGAGAGATAGAGAGGGGACGGGTAGAGAGGGAGTGAATGAGGGAAATATTTCCAAATATAATTATTAGGATTTGGAAAGTAAATAAGATAAGGGAAGCTTTGAAGATTTCGGCCAAAGGTGGAGAGGGGAATTAGTAAAGGGTTTCCAAGATATGGTGACGGGATTTGGAAACAAATCCAAGGGGTTTTAATGAGAGGGGGGGGGGGGGGTGGCGGCATGATGGGGCTAGGAGGGGATTTATGGGAGGGAATCAAGCTTCTTAATTTGGGTTTTAGAAATTATGAAAGAATTTAATTAAATTCAATTTGAATTTGAAATTCAAATAGGTTTAATTTAGAAACTTTCCTAAAATAGATTTAGTAATTTAGGAAAGATTTTAAATTTTAAATTGTATGAATTTGAATTCCAAAATATGTCCAAATTATGTGAACCCAAATTAGGCAATTGAACTCAATGGGGAGAGGGGATCTAGGGCCGGCGGGTTGGAGGGGCTCGAGTATGGGGGCCGAGGGCTAGGTGGGAAGTATGTGGAGTTTGGTTGAGTGAAGGGGAAGGGCCTAGGAAGGGAGAAAACCGTGGGTGTGATGTTGGCCGGTGGTGGTGGAAGGAGATTGGAAAAGATATGAAATAGAACCATGAACCTGGCTCGTCTAGGTTGGTGGGTGATGCACAATTCTCCTTCTCCTAGGGATCTCTCTCCGATTTCTCAAGCTCTCACAAGAACTCATGCAAGGGGAAGAAATATTTTAATCAATCATTCATTAATGTCAAAAGAAGAATACTAGGGCTATAAATAGCCTAGTACAAAAGACTCACAAAAGTAAAAGGACAACAATGCCCCTAGGACTTACATAAAACCTCCCTTAATAAAAAGGTACAACGGGAAACTAAATAAGCAAGCTAATAAAGCAAATACAATATGACATCATAAATAAGAAAATACATAAAACAACTCAGAAATACAATGACTCAATTGTGGCCATAGATCGACGGCCACGTCTCTGATAGACTCTCCACGATCTGATGTCCCCATCAATAGGCCCCTTACGTGCTCAGAAAGTGATAGTCATCCTGTATGCGCCACGTGAACTGCCACCTCTGGCTCCCCTCTCCAAGTACTTCTGATCCTCCACCAACTGAGCTAGCTCTATAACCTCTCCTAAGTCACAAAGTCTCGTGACTCTCACAGCTGCCCAGATCTCTGATTTGCGCCCCTTAATGAAATTTTCCTTCAGAACAGTCTTAGACAGTTGATCCATTCGGCTCGCCAGGTACTCAAATCTCTCACGGTATTTTGCCACTGAGCCTTCCTGTATCAGGGCAAAGAATTGCTCATACAAATCCCCTCCCCTGCTGGAGGAAGAAGTGGGGAAAACTTAAAAAAGCTGACCGAGAATGAGATACAGGAAAAGAGGGTGAAGGGATTATACTTCCGATGTGATGAGAAGTATACTCCGGGGCAAAGGTGTAGAGACCGAACTCTTCAGGTTCTCACCGTTTATGATGACGAGGAAGCTGAGGAGGGAGGTTGGAGTGAGACATGGGTAGAGGAAGAGGACAAGCTACATCTAGACATGGCAGAGGTCTCCCTAAACTCGGTGATAAGATTCACTCTGAGTCATACCATGAAGGTGAAGGGAAAATAGCAAACCAGGAGGTGGTAATGTTGGTTGAAAATGGGGTTATCCCACAATTTCATCTCCAAGCAGGTTGTGGGCCAAATGGAGGGTGACATTGGTGGATACATGGTGCTATGGAGTGATGATGGATATGGTGAAGGTGGAGACATGAAAGAGCATCTATAGGGGAGCAGTCTGACCATACAAGGGTTCAAGTGAGGTAGAATTTTTCTCCCATTATAACTAGGCAGCACTGATGTCAACTTGAGAATAAAGTGGCTGCAGACCTTGGAAAATACCAAGGTTAATGGATGGAGCTGGTAGTGGAGGGGAGAAGAATAGTGATCAGGGGAGATGCGGGATTATCCAAAGCCATGGTATTCCTCAAAACCATGGTAAGGAGCATACAGGAGATGGGGGAGATTTTCTGGTGGAGCTATAGAGATTAGAGAGGATTATATTGGAGGAGGGTAGGCATTTCTATTTCAATACAATCATTGATACAATAATTTAGTGAGGTCTATCAGCCACCTTAAGGATTGTCATCATCAAGGAAGTAGGAGCATGCCATCACCTTGAGGGAGGGATTGTCACCCATTAGTGTCAGGTCATACTTGAGTTCCATTGTCTTTCCCCCGAGCTGTTGAGGTGTAGCGAGATTCTTCCTTACATGGTCCTTTGTCTCCCCCACTTTTAACATGGATAGCTTTCTTTTCCTTTGGTTTTATGGAGTCCTTAGTGTAGTTAATTAGGCTCTCTATAATGGTAAGAACAAAAGTAAGATCATGTACCCTAGCCTCCTTAGTTCAGTCTTGGCCCATACTTGAAGACCATCCATGAAGTTGAAGATAGCATCTTTATCAGACATGTCAGAAATATTGAGGACCAAACTAGTGAAGTCCTTGATGTATTCTCGAATTGACCCAACTTGCTTGAGCCTTCGTAGTTTTGCTCTCGCCTCCTCTTTCGCATATTCGGGGTAGAATTGTCATTTTAATTCCTTGAAGTCGCCAAAGGTAGAGATGGTGCACATACCTTTCTTAATGTTTCCTTGCCTTAGTGTCAGAAAGGTAAAGAGCAGTGAACTGGATCTTCGCAACCTCCTCTGTGATACATATGGCCCCAAAGTACTATTTAAGACCCCATAAGAAGTTGTCTACTTCTTTTACATTGTGAACCTCTCCACATCTCTTAGGTTTTGGCACTTCAATACGCTTGGCTTCAACATGGCTGCTGGTCCCTGATGCTCGTGCCCTCTTGTACAACGCTATGTCCCCACACATATCTTCTATGCTTGCACGAAGAATAAGCATCTCCTCTTCCTGAAATCGTTGCACAATCTGGAGCTCTCCCTTTAGCTCATCCCTCATCTTCGCCATTTGCTCCTTGAAGGATTCCTCCAACTGGCATACCAAATCGCTGATTGAGGAATGGATGGTGATTTCCTCTTCTTCTAGGCCCTTCACCCTTTCACCTAGTTCATCTGCCTAGACTTCCATGCCATTCATAGTCTCCTCCGCTCGAGCTAGGCGTGAATCAAAACCAGAGAACAAATCCTTGGACTTCCCATGGAGCTTTGATGCAATAGGATCATGTGTCTCTTCATGACCTCTCCCTTGTTAAGATGCCTCCACGTGGGTGACTTCAGATCCAACAGCTTGCTCCTTCCCGTGCTTTATCATGCCTTCAACCTAGACTCTGATACCAACTGTCATGCAATAACCTTATCATAGTCACTCGTGCGGCCTTAACACTCAAAACCTATGCTGAGCAGCCTAACTTTCACAAAACAAGGGTAAGAATGTGTAAACAATTGGAGAAGAAAAGTGAAAAGAAAAGTAATGCTTTATTGGGAAAGGAAACTTTATAAGGCATAAGAGCTTGGAAAACTTTGGATGATCCCAAATGAGAGGTGGGGACCTCTATTTATAGTCCCCCCCATGACCCTAGAGAACATTCTAGAATACATGAGAACAACATGCTTCTAGATTATTCCATACTATTCTAGTTTATTACACTACTTCATACAAGGTTGCCTAGAATATTCTATATTATCCTAGAGTTCTCTTGAAGACCCTCCATTCTAGCATGATCTGTATCTTGTGAGAAGGTTATGGAGTCTTTTAGATCTTGGGCTTTGGGTTAACCTCTTCTAGATGGTAAAAGTGTGGCAATAGGCTTGACCACCAAATATTCATGATAAGCCAAAAGGTTTCCAAGAGGTGTTTAAGAGAAATCTAGGAAATGCTGGATTTTATAAGAAAATAAAATAAATAAGACACCAAATGCTGTGGCTCACTTGATGATGCCCTACAGCGGGTAAGTTTCTAGCATGAAATCCTTATAGAAGTACCCTACGTCCCACGTAAATGAAAATTACTAGGTATCAAAACAGAAAGAAAAAGAAGAGTTGCTATAAAAAGATTTAAAACAAGTATCGTATCAGAAAATTTGAAAATTCTTAAACTAGAGTCATCAGCTAATACTTGGCAGTTTGCATAGGCATAACTCCGTATCTCTATTCAAATAAGTATATATTCCATCGAAGAAGCCTTTTTAACATACCATCTGTACGGCCTGCAGAATTCAGCAAGTGACCCTGTCATATGAAACGCACAACTTACAGGTAGCAATGAAAACAATCTTAAAAGGTTCTCTTAAAAAAAGCCATCATGCTACCTTTGCATAAAGAGCAATGTGAAACTTCCGGGTTTCCTCCAATTGAGAAATTTCATTCTCAATTGTGTTGGCAAGATTCAGCATATTGGGCACATTCACAATATGCAAAAATCTGGAAAACAACAAAAAAAAGCTGCATATTTAACAAAAATCTAAGGGGAAAACCAACTAAAAGAAAGCTGCTTCACATATACACCTTGCCACAGTAAATTTATTGAACCATAATGAGGTCTCAATGCTTTCATCAAGCTGCAGTTTGAAGCTACCATGCGAAGGAGATGATCTTGCTTCCGGTAAATGTACAGCCAGCTGATCCAGAGGACCACAGGTAAGATTTTCAATAATGTCATTGCTACAAATAAGTGCTTCATAACTGCAAAAGTAGTTACCAGAACAAATAAGACAAGTCTTATAAGACATACTAAATTTGATAATTTAATGGTGTAAAAATCAAAGCTTAATAACTATTTAATTAAAAAGAATGGACTATTATTTCAGATGTATTCTTCTTGAAGTTACCTGAACAGGCGAAAAATTACCTGTTATCCAAAGCTGATACATTAAAAATAACATAGTCCAGAACTGAAATTTCAGGAATTTCCTCCATTGTTTTTATATGTTTAAAGCAGCTCTCATTAGTCTGGTCTTAGTAGCCCCTGCCAAACTTTTAATCAACACAAAAAAAGATGTTCGTTAGATTGTTGTTACTTAGCCAGGATATTAGGACAATTTTATTTATTTAGTGGGAAGTTTGTAAGAAATAAACTCCATATAATTTAACTTACTAAAACAGGACTAATTATAATCTTTTGCAACTTACCCTAAGTTCCATTTTTTTTTCAAACAAGGCCACTTATACATAATTAACAATTAAATAAGCTTAATTGCCTTTAATTATCCTTGATCGCTTGTTGTTCCAAGGCTTGTTGCTAGGGCTGATTATGACCAAACTCAATAGATTTTTAATCAACTAGAAATTAAAATTGATTTGTTTTGACTGAAAGATGATTAGCACAAATTTAGTTCGCTTCAACTCAATATAATATCACATGCGTATGCATGTCTTAGTACACACACATATATCCATACATGTAAATCATATGCATATGAAAGAATTATTCAAATAGAATATCAACTAGATGATCTAATTGATCTCACTCCACAATTGCAAAAAAGTGAAACGCCAACTAATGTTGGTCTAGAATACCTTAATACTTTACAAAAGGCAATAATGCATTAATGATATATATAATCAATACATTAATTATCAAGAAAGATTGCATAATAAACAAATTTATTTCGCATGCATATAGTGATGTGGATATGGATTGTGAATACCATACTTAAAAATATTTTGAGAAAACCACCGAAACCTTAACTTTTGATGGCGGTAAATAAAATTAGTATTGACATGCAATGAAGAAATTTATATTTCTACATCATTTTTATTAGTGCAAAATATTATACATTATATGATATTAGACACCCCTTTTCTTCATGAAGAATTGGTTTGATGTTATTTCGATAAATGGAATGAAGAAAAAGATTCTCTTGTGTATTGATTGAAGTTTCTTCAAATCTACTATTCAACAGGATGTTAAACAAGTGGGCTCCAAGTAAATATTTATTTGGTTTGCAAGCCCAACTATCTATTTTTCTATACTGAATATACTCTTGGTTCTGCTGATTATTTACATGATTTCTAACTTTAGAATTTTTGTTGAGTAGAAGATGACTAGAACATGGTCAAAGGTAAAGGACCAATGACCCCAACAAGAGGTAGACCCTCAAACACATGTAGGAAATTCCTCTTTTGATAAAGATCTTGCAACTGGAAATGATCTTCTCACTCATAAATCTATTAAATAAGATCCCACTCATAAATCTATCAAACAAGATTTAATAAAATATCTCTATGGGAAGAATTGAGCTAGGAAAATCCTGCCCTCCATGACTCGAGAAAATCCTCTTGGATTAATAATGTAAGAAACTATTCTTTCCGAACCATCTTATAATATTAAGTATAATATTGAAAATATTATTCAAATCAATTACAAAATTATGGTATCCATCTGTCATGGACCTTTAAAGAGAAATATTAAAGAATTTTCCTTGCTCAAATTATTTAGCACGTTCAAATTATAAGACAATCCTTCACTTGCCAAATTGTGTTGAAATCACACAAAATAACAATGAGCCAAATACGGCAATCACCTACAACAAACATACTCTTTTCTAAATCTTTCTTCCCAAAGTTTGGGGACTTAAACGCTTCAAAGAGCTAAGACTTGAAATTTTAATTATTAAGGTATTGCCCAAACTATGAATGAAGTCTTTTAAATTAAAATCTTAAATGCAAGAATTATTGAATATTTCTAATGCTTAAAGAAAACATCAACAAAATTCCTTTATGATTTTGTAGATGCTAAAAGAAGTTGGCTGTCGATTTGACCTGCCCACAACTATTAAAGAAACTCATGATCAATGAGTTGAATCCAATCTTAAGGTTACTCATATTCCATATAGGGATTTAATTAAATGCTAATGCCAATTAAATTTCTTAATTGAATGTTAGATTTCTTGGATTTGGTCATGAAATATTATTTCTCGTGGAGATATCTACTGCTTACAAAGACAACTTTTGATTGAATGGTCCCTCAAATAAAAGTTAAAAGATAAATTATAGCATATTCAACAAATCAAAATCTAACTACTAAGAAGTAATACTCTTCAGCAAAATTTTTCTTATGCAATCGAAGGGATGAACTCTTGAAAAATTATCTTCATTAGTCTCAAGAACAAATTGAACATATGATAATGGATGAGTATCAAAAACAACTATTTGAATAATTATTCTCTACACCCATCTCATCCCAAGTGGACGATTTCATAAGCCAATATCCAACTTAAAGACTAGCATTCTAGATCGCAATTCAAATCAATATCCAACTTAAAGACTAGCATTCTAGATCGCAATTCAAGCCAAATACAAAATTAAAGATTCGTGACTAAAGTAAAAGATAGAAGGCGATACAACACTTTTACTTTACAAAACACAACAATCACATGTAGCTAGCTGAAGGAAGATTCCTTGGAGGAACAATTATTTGTAGACAACTAAACATGGTTAAAGTAAAAGTGGAAATAATGGCACCAAACGAATATTATTTTCTTTGGGTAAAATCCAGTTTTAAGTCCGGATGCCCTTCCTTCTCTACAAATAAACCTAACGTATGTTGGAAGGCAGAACTTGAGTAATCAAGTGTGTTGGGAGTGCTTCTCAGTGTTCCCCTTTATTTCTTCTTCTTTATTTACATTGTAGACATTTTAGTTTAAATTAGATCTCTATTTATGTTTAGCTGTAATGGTTCGTTTTTACTTTGCTGAACAAGAAAATTGTTATCAGATTCATCTGGAGCTAAATTGCTCTAGAAATTCTATAAATAATGAGATATTGATCTATATAATTAATTACAACATGCTGTAAAATGACCTGGAAAGTCTCATTAAGTTCTTATTAGAATATTAGAAATTGTTAATTGTTTTGTTCATATTAAGATCAACTTCAATAATTAAGTCTCTACACTTTTGAAAGATATTTAATGATCACTTCGTCACAAGGTAATAAGTCCTAAGGAGAAGGCGCAATAAATCTTGGATTATGCTGACTTGTTCTAAGTTTAAATATATTTTAAGGGATTACGTAATTTAACTTTGGTTTAAGGTTAATTATGTAAGTCAAGATTCACCATAGTTAGAGTTCTTGCTCCTATATGGCCTCATCCTCTTCCATTAAAAGAACATTAATGAAAAATTCTAACAACTAAAATCATGAAATCATCAAAAATATCATATACAAAAAAAGAAAGGGGTGTCAATAAAGGATCCGACTCATAGACCCGACCCAAACCCAACCTGAAAAATCCCGATTTAATTTAAGCCGTTTAATAAATGGGTTGGGTTTGGTCGGGCATTCAGACCAGCTTATTAAACGGGTAAAGTTTGGGTTGACCGGACACCTCGATTTTGACTCAAAATTGATCAATTAAATATATTTTCTTGATTTCATTTATTTATTGGTACAATCTTTATACTTTTTATTAATTTACCTAAACTCTATGATTAATAAGCAAATAAAAAAAAAATTAATTAAAATTGGTTATCGGGTTGGGTTCAATAATACTAGTAGGTCTATTTAAGGGTTCAATTTTTTGACCTATTCATTAAACGAGTCGGTTTCGGGTTGACCAAATTTAAGTCGGGTCAATTTTGGGTTGGATCCAAACATGACACATTAACCCAATTTTAATATCCCTAACAAAAGAAGACCTTAATAAATGGCGAATCATGTATGTTGAGAATATTATGATCTGCAAGATTATTAAATTATATTTCAAAAGAAAAACATCAATCAAAGCAATCAAAAAATTAATTATGATAGTGATGAGGACATCGACAGACATTATCGATGAGTCTATCAGCATAGGAATCATAGATTAATGGCTACGATTCACAATCTTTATGTTTGATGTTTTTTATGTATTATTTGTTATTTACGATTGTATCTTTCTTTTGAGTTTGCTTGAGTTGTAGCCTAATGGGCATTTGAGTCATTGTTATTTTATTTCTCTATGTCTATATATTGTGTCCTCTTCTATTGTAAAAGAGATGATGATTATGAAATGAAATTTCAGATTTTCTTGCTTGATTTCTTTGTGAGTTCTTGAGAGGAGAAACCCTAGGAGAGGGTCTTGCAGATTCCGGGACTCGCGGTTTGTCGGTACTCTTCCCCTTTTTATTCGACCAAACAAACCCCTCCCTTTTCCCCCACCGCCGACCAACCTAACCTCACCCCACCCGTCTGCCCACCATGCCAAAACCCCTTCCCCCTTCTAAACAGCCAGCCACCCATCCTCCCTTCCCTTTCTCCCCCAACGTCCAAGCCCCTCTCTTTCTCAAGCCCACCACCGACCACACCCCCTTTTCCTCCACTTAATGTTGATTTCAATCTTCATCAAGACCTTCCTAATTGAACCTACATAATTTGGGAATGGTCTCATTCTATTTGAAATTCAAACTTTGAATTTTGAATACTTTCCTAAATTAGCCACGTCAAATTAGGAAAGTTTTTTGATAGAAAATACTTGGTTTCAAGTAGTTCCTAGCAAAAACTGAAGTAGAACAAGCAGAAAACTGCTGTTTAAAGCAGTGGACAGCAGTTTTTCTCAAGAAAACAGTGAGAAATCGCGGGAAAACTGAGAGAAAAGTCACAGAAAAGCTTGTATTTCATTAGAAGAAGAAGAAAACAGCAAAGATACAATTGATCCTCAATTCGAGAGGAGGGTCGATCTCTCCCAAATCTCTAGACGCCGCTAGAGCCCAAAGAAAACCTAAATCTAAGAGATCTCAAATTTCTGCCAAATTCAAGATACTCAAACCCTAACAAAATCAACTATTTAATGCATACAAATCAAAAGGAATTCCCTAAACAGTCCCTACATTCAAATTTCTCTCTGAAACCCCCCAAAAATCCTTCCTAAAACGCTCTGTTTGAGCTGTCGGCCTGCCCGATCTCCGCATGAGGCGGAGATCCCGCCTGTTCGTGCATCTATCGGTCCCGTGCGGACCGGCTGGACCGGTCTAACATTTTTCAATTTGAGTCTAATTTAATATTAAATTAGATTTGAATTATTTATCTCTTTTCCTAAAGTGAACCAAGGAATTATGAAGCATTAATTCCCCTCCCCAATCTCCCCACACCCATCTATGCCGCCGACCCCCCCTTTATGCTCCAAATTTTGAATTCAAAATTTGAATTCTAATTCATCCCTCTACCCTCATTTAATTCTCTTAATTTGATTAACATCCTTGGTAATTAATTTCAAAGAGGATTTAATAACCTAATTTCCTCTAACCCTAGCCACCCCTTTCAATCCACCCAACCAAAGTCGCCGGCCCCTCCCCTTGCTATCTCACTTTCATGGAATTCCCTACATCTCATGTGCTCTCTTGCTAGGAAAGAAATCGAGCCCCTCGCTTCCACCCCTCGCTTCCAACATTCCCCTAGTGCATGATCGATCCCGACGTTAACATCGGATTCGTATATGATAACCAAGGAATGACGGACATTCCACGATCTACCTTCTTTGATTTGAACTTGAACGACGACGACTCCGTGGAAGATTACATTGATCGCATCACCTTCACATTGGCACCAGCAATTGAGGAGCACCTCCTAATTGAATCGTGGTCAGTTGTGGGAACTGGGACATCCACAATCCATCCGTTGTCGACACCCTTTCCATCAACAAAGATCTTAGGCTTCTTCTTCCTAGTGGTGATCGCTTCTCTAGTGTGGAGTATCTTCTTCCACTAACCCACAAGTGAATGAGTGAGAAGGTCCTCAAGGTAAAACCTCTCATTATTAAATTGTGAATTTTGTTATTGCGCTCATAACTTTACTCATGTCTTTGGAGTTTGATTAAATTATCTTGGTTAATCTAAACTGTACTTCTTTGCCTAAGCAAGTTAAAAACTACGAATTTGAAAAATTTCTTTGTTGAGAACGATAATTTTGTAATTGGAAAAGCTTTCAACAATTGCTCTTCTTAATTTCTCACAAACTCCTAGAAGTTTCACATCAGATAGTGATAGAAAACACTTGAAGATCTCAAGTAAATCCTATCAATTTTGGAAAATCAACGAATAATCTCCATAAATCCAATGGAAAATGAGAGACAAACAAGAATTTTATTGCAAGAATCAAATAGATTGAAGAAAAAACAAGATACAACTGATCCTCTATTCGAGAGGAGGATATTTCTCTCCCAAATCTCTAAACGCCGCTAGAACCCAAAAGAAAACCTAAACCTAAGAGAACTCAAATTTCAGCCAAATTCAAGATGCCCTAACCATAGGAGAACAAACTATTTAATGCATACAATTCAAAAGGAATTCTCTAAACAACCCCTACTTTGAAATTTCTCTCCATAATCCCTTCAAAAACCTTCCTAAACAACCCATAGGTGAACTAGGCAGTCGGCTCTTGTGTATATGAAGCGAAACTCTCCGCTAATTTCGCATAAGCAGGTCCGACAGACCGATCCAATGGACTGATCTAACAATACTCCCCTCCCGAAGATCCACCTTGTCTGCAAGGTGGAAAGATGACACCCTCCTCCATTCTTTCTTCATCACAAACGGTAAAAACCTGAAGATTTCGGTCCTTACACTTGTGCCCCGGCATATACCTCTCGTCAAATCTGAAACAGATCTCCTTCGCCCTCTTCTCATGCAATTATGTTTCTGTGAGCTTCTTGAAATTGTCCCCAGGTTTTCCACCAGCAATCTTCTCTTTTGAAGTCTCCTTAAGAGTACCCAAGTGTTGGATCCTTGCTTGCCAAAAAGGGTGTGGTCATCCTATACGAGCCTCCTAAACTGCTGCCTCCTGCACCTTTTTCCAGGTGCCCTGATCCTCCACCAACTGAGCTAGCTCCATAGACTCTCCCAAGTCCCGAGGTCTCATCACTATAGAAGCCAATCCAATCAACTGGCAAGGTACTCAAATTGCTCACAGTACTCCATCACTGTCAACTCATGCATCAAAGCGAAGAACTGCTCATAGAAATCCCCTCCTCTATTAGTTTGGAAACGTTCCAACAAGCAGTCCTTAAACTCCCTCCAGGTCCTTATTGGTCACCTTGTATCCCTACACTAATATCATACTAAAGCTTTCCCTTCCAACCACATCCCGGCTACCATCAATCTCTCCCCCTCCGTCAACCTGTTGATGATAAAGTACCTTTCCACCATGTAGATTCACCCATGAGCATCCTCTCCCTAAAAAATAGGCATCTTCAGCTTTCTCTCCCTCATATTGCCTCTATTCCCTCTGTTTCCTTCATAACTTCCCCTTCCCCAAGGGGATAGTTCGCCCTAGCTGTCTCAATCTTCCCTTCTACGTTCATACCTCATCCTTTCTTCAAATTCTCACATTCTCCTCTCAAATTTAGCACACCTTGGATCATTACAAATCCCTCCCCTTTCAAATTCAGCCCCCCTTTAGTCATAATTATCCATTTTGCTTTCTAATCTCGCCCCTCTCCTCTCCAAAATATAAATAAAATATAAAATATAAAATGATAATCATTGATTGCATCATATGCGTACTAGACTACTAGCGATGAGTTTATATCTTTGACTAACATTACTGCTCTTGTAAAACAGATTGTAAAGGCCAAAAAATAGTGTATCTCCTAGTTTATAGACTTATTGTTTTTGCACTGACTTTAACAGTTGCTACTGCTATGGTAGATAGCATTTTCTGCAATGAAGATTATTAAGCATCAGCTGCGTGGCAAAATGGGTGATACATGGCTTAATGATTGTCTAGTGTTATATATTGAGAAAGAAGTATTTGATTTTGTTCCGAATAAGTCATTATACAACATTATTAGAAAATGCAAAGTTTGTAATTTTCTTTTTTATTTCATAAATTATAATGAAATGCAAGGCTTTGCTTTGAATTTTGTTAATGATATATATATATATATATATATATATAATTTTTTTATTTACTTTTTTATATATTGAGTTTTTCCATCCTAAAAAAAGGATTGGATCCACCACTGCTCACCGTACCACCAAAACAATTCATTATCAAAGAAGCATGTAACTGACACATCTAAAAAAAAATGAGGTTCTCCAAGTTCACATAAATGCTTAGGATTCCATAAACCCACTTGTAAATAGTTGTTTTGTGATAAACCGAGACAACTTGCCTATATTTGATGTATCCCATTTGTTTTTATTTCAAATACAGTAAACTATTTTCCTTGTTTAGAAAAAGGCAAGTCCAAAAAATTATTTAAAGCTAAAAAAGGGTTGGCCCTTCTCACAGCAACTAAAACGAATTTCTTTTTATAAAATTCCCTGTTTATTAAATTCCCATTTTAGCAAACGGCAAAGCCTACTTAAAGCCTTAAAAACCTACAATTTTAAAGGATGTGGAGGAGGAAGAAATAACTCGAACCACCCATGTTGTAGGCTTTTCAAAGTTAAACAGAGTTCAATAACCGACCCAATGACTTAGAATCAGAGGAAAGATTTCCACCATTTAACAAAAGCATTTATGTAAAACCGACTCTACTAATTTTGCCTAAATAACTAGAAAAACAAAAAAAAAACAATACGCTTGTTGTTTCCGCTTCAATTTCGATCAAGAGACCGATATGGCAAACAAAACAAAAAGAAGCATATTCAGATACAGCCACCATCATTAATAAAATATTCCAGAATGATCATTTTCGAGTTTGTTAAAAATAAGACACAGTCCACCGACACATGAGGACAAATAACATACAAAAAATTGATGAACAACACTTTTACCATCCATCACAAATATTTCCATTATATCGTCCAAAAGCTAATCTGAGCTGCCTCACTCAACTAATTTTCCATTAAACAACACGAGTTAATTGCAACCCATACACTCCAAAAGAAACTGCTAACAACTAATTACGGCATAAAAACAGAATTTACGGCTTACTGAAAGAAATAAAAACACTCAGTGAATCAAATGCCAACTTACAAATCCGAACCACCCCTGATCATGTCCTACCCAAAAAACTGATCATGAAGGAACGGGACAAAAATGGCAAAAAAAACACCATTTTGCCAACAGAAGCTCAAAACAAGAAGGTGTGGGTTACGTGTAAAGCCTTCACAACAACTTCAAAACTACAAAAAATGAATCGCCTCCATTATAAAATCCTAAAAACTGCTGAAAATTCCAAAGATCTGACACACATTTGTTCTAGTTTGAGCGCAGAAGAGAATATTATCCACCAAAATGAAGTATACCAAAAGATAAAGTAGCACGCCGGCTTCCAATTCGAGCAGTTTAAACACAGATCGAGATTTTAAGAAAAAACGAGAGACCATGCAATGTGCATTTACCAGATCTAATCAGAGGAACCCTAATGATCCGCATCCGCCACCGGAAGTCATCTCGCCGATTCAAATTGCCGAGAACATCGGAGAGATAGAGCAGAGAGAGTGAGAAAGCAAGTATAGGACGAAACGGCATATATATATAGATGGTCGGGCAGGGGACCCTGCAACTGTATCTGAAACATCTACGAATGTAGAAGTGTGCCACAGAATGGTCAGCGGACCGCGGGCAACGAAGCGACGTCGCTGTTGTGACTGGGGTGAGATTTTCTGACGAAACTACCCTTGGAGGGCAGTTGTATTCACGAAAGAGAACTGCTGCACCTTAATAAAAGGCCGGTGGCCCAATAATATCATTAGTAGGAGCTATATAATTGTGAGCACTATGAGAAAAGAGTAAAAGTACAAATATTTTAAATTTTCTATTTTTTGGATTGTTATGTTTCAAATACAAAAACATTTAAATTATTTAGAAATTATCATATAATTAAATTTTTAGTGCATTTAGAATTCACCTTTTCGAGAAAAATTCTAATATCAACTATAGTTGGTTATCTTGAACTTTTTAAATTTCTGATTAAATAACCTAAACTTTTTTTTACAAAATAGCCAAAACTTCCATAAATATAAATTTATAAATAGGTCATCTTTTCATATATTTGAGGAGATTAGGATGAGACTACAAGAATAATTTCAAATAAGAGAATTCAGAGCCCTATCAATAAATACTCAGCATCTCTTGCTAATAATAAGTCAGATGCCCAATGTTAACATATACTTCAGCCACTAAGATTGATGTCCATCATCACCACTATGTATGATGTATTCTACAGTGCCACTGCAAATAATATCATTACTATCATTGATACCAACATCGACAATAATAAAAAAATTCATCATCACCATTTAAATTGATGTTCATTGCTGGCATCAACATCGACACCCTCAGTCTCTATTGTAGTATATATAGTATAAAGTAATAGTAGTATATATAATATAGTTTAGTTATATAGTATAAATAAATAGTAGTAGTATAGTGTAGTATATATAGTATAGAGTAGTATTATAGTATGATATAGTTATACAGTATAGAGTAGTAGTAGTGTAATGTAGTATATATAGTATAGTGTAGTTATATAGTATATAGTAGTAGTAATATAGTGTAGTTATATAGTATAGAGTATATGTAGTATAGTGTAGTTATATAGTATTGAGTAGTATATAGTAATAGTATTATATAGGGTAGTAGTAGTAGTATTATAGTGTAGCTATATAATATAGAGTAGTATTAGTATAGTGTTGTATATATAGTATAGAGTTGTGGTAGTATAGTGTAGTATATTTAGTATAGAGTATTTATAGTTATAATTAGGCAACCGATCCCTTATTCTTTATGATATGGTACTAGTTCGTACTTCTAATCCTTGAGTAGTTATATCCATTACTTATATAAAGAGAAATCATTTTCACACTAGATTCGAGAAATCATGTCAAACATTGCGTCCCAATTAGTGTACATTCGATCCCAAAGGAAACTCAATTCAATCTCTTTCATCTCTTGTTAAAGCCATCAAATAGCATTTTAATAATAACTTAAATAGGTTAAAAATCTTTGTTGTATTTTTTTTGGACTCTCCCATCAAAGTTAAGTTCATGAGATGACATCCTATGCTAACGACTTAGAATGGATCAAATTCATTTAGAAATTTCCCTTAAGATGAGCTTAGTTAATAACTATTACATTTTATAAATCATATCATTAGTGATATTGATGCAGCGACAATCAACAGGATAAGAGAAATCGAAGGGAAGCAATGGAACAGTGAGTCTCGTGCAGATAAACTTGTATTGTCTATTAAAACTGAAAAACTAAGGAGGGCTTTCTCCAGCTTCAGAACATATAATAAGTAAAAGCTAACAAAATAAAGCTTGATTAAAGAAACAACTAGAAGCAGCAGGCCTATGTGTAACTGAAAGGGAAAAATGTCAGAGAATGAGGGATAGTGGCTGCCCTATTAGAGTAAAATGATCCACCTGAGTAACCAAGCTAAACCGATGTCCTCATCAGGTATATTTTTTTACCAAGGAGATGAAATACAAATGACAAAGGACAACAACCTTTTTTTTCTTTTTTTTTTTGAAATTCTGATCTTCAGATGCTCAGCCTTGCCTTCCACTATACTCTCAATAGATTGTTGGGCCAAAATAAAAGAAAAAAATAAAACAAACTAAAATAAAAGAGCCTCAGAATACTCAGTAAAGCTAAAGTGTTAGGTAACATGGCTATTTGGTGCAGCTGCGTGCAAGCCAAGCTAATGCCTTTCAACGGCTATTTTGGTATTTAAAATTTTCATATTAGTTATTGAGATTTAAGCATTTCCTTGGTTATGATTGTAATTCTTGTTTGTGTAATTTTTTCAGTTTGTAATTCTTGTTTGACTATTGAAGGTAAAATATTTAAATTTGACATTAGAATATAACTATTTTACACCAATATTAAATAAAATATTATATAAGTAACTATTTCATATTAGTTATTTAATTCTTGTTTCCATTCACTCAGACTTCCCAGCATCCAAACAATGCCTTAGATCATAGTAATAAATCATAAAATGATTTAATAATTTACTGATGAAATAAGTTACTAAAGCAAATCAAAACTTGATTTATCAATAACATAAAAAATATAAGAAATGATTAAGAGAGCAATGACATTAATTTTGCCGATTACAAAGATTATAGTTGAAAGAATATTTTCTGCAATGAAAATTTTTTATATATCTTTTACGCAGTAAAATAGGTGATGATTGACTCAGAGATTGTCTCGTGTCATATATTGAAAAAGAAGTAGTATTAGACTTGATTCCAAATGAAATTGTAATGCAATATTATTAGAAAATGTAAAATTAAATGCAAAGATTATATAAATTTATAATTAATCATAAATATCAATGATTTTAAATTATCATATATTACTATTAACTATTTAATTAATTTTATTTAAATAGCATGAATTATTATAGAGCTTAATATCAAATAAATTATTTGGTGGACAACAAATAGTGTACCAAAGAGGAGAGATTATTTTATGTGGTGTTCGAACGCGTCCTGAGGACAATTTGGATGTGCCACATCATTCAATGCACCGTGCATTGGGTGACATGGCATATTAGGATTGGCCTCTAGACGCATCTGAGCATTGACTTAATAATTTTTCTACAAAGAGTGCCCTTAAGATGATTTTTTTCCCACATTCTAAAACTAAAGTTTCGTTTGGGACAATTTACAAATTATTTTTAAAGTAACTTTATGATGCAAAAATTTATGTACTAAAAATTTAAACCATGGTAAGAAAGCCCCTAGCTAGGATTCATTAAAGTCCACATGCTTAATGTGAAATGCCTGTAACTCCCAATTTCTCATTAATATCCAATAATAAAATCGAAGTCCTAAAAAAATCAGGTTTTGTGAATATAAGTAGATATATTCTTAATTGTGTCTCAAAGCTGCTTTCTTTCAGGGCAAATTATTGTATCCGGTCATCGGACGCAGAGATATGTCCGGATATTAATAAAATATTATTTTAAATTAAGTGCGTCAAAAGCGCAGGTAAAGCGCACCTAAAGCACAGTCAAAAGCGCAGGTGACGCTGCATGTTTTTATTGGATGTCCGAACCTATTCTGCACGTCCGGTGACCGGATGCAATAATTTGCCTTCTTTCAGACACTCAAATTTTGTTTGGGATAACTTTTTTATTATTTATTAAAATAGCTTTCTAGTACAATATTTTAATTTTTTAATAAAAAAACTGATTTAAAAAAACATAAAGAAAATAGTCTCAAAAGAAGCCTCAATTACAAGCTTGCAATAGATTTGTGTTCAAGTTCACAAAACCAGGAATAATTTGCTGGTGAGTTACAGGAGAAATTTAAGTTATGAGCATTTACTTAGCTTATTGTTTTGTCTTTTAGATCGTAATCATAATTTTTTATTTGAATAATATTTTTTCATTGCTTTCAAGAAACTTTTGTGCTGGAAAGCTATTTTTTAAATTAACTTTGAAAAAAAAAAAAATTTCCCCATAACTTTAAAATCACATTTAAAAAAAAAATTATAGTTATCCCAAATAAAGCTGACTAATTATTTGTATGGACATCAAACGCTGTCCAGAGACCAACCAAAATGCACAACATCACCCCTTGCTCGATACCGTAGCTCGATACTGCTGACATGATGCATTCTAGATGGTCTCCGGACGGCGTTCTGCATCCGATCTCCGCACAAAATAATTTCTCCTTACATAGAGACTTTTATAAAATTTTGATTTAGGAATAATATGGAAAGGGAGGAAGGTTAGATTAAGGAATTATAGGTAAGAAATAATTTATCTCAAGTTTTTTTTTTTTTTTTTTTTTTTGGTGGCTTGGGAAGTGGAAAAGATGAAGTTGCACACTGGATTTTTTTTTTTTTTTTTTGGTTTTTTTTTTTTTTTTTGGAGGTATGGCTAAGGAATAGGAAGAAAGTGATCCAAGCCTTCAATTCCAAAAAAAAAAAAATAATAATAAAAAACATTTATTTCATCAAAACAAATGCATCTCAGAATTTCCCCACCGACAGTGAAAATAATTATTTGCATCATACTTAAGAGTAATTTTACAAATATAGCCTTAACAATCTTCCAAGCAAAAGGTTAAGAACTCCTAAACATTGAACTTTACATGCGTCTGGTTAATTACCCAAGCTCATGAGCAGCCAAATACTCACAGAACAGCTACGAAATACCCAAAGAGGGACCATAATCAAAGGATCAAATTACTAATCTTCATTGCTTTGCAAAAAATTTGATTTTCTGTACAGCTTTCTTTAATGTCTGACCAGCAATCTCTAAACCAGTCTGGTTGATACAGACCTGAATGGATTGCACTTTCCTCACCATATGAAGAAAAAGAATAAGTTTTTTCTGTTATATCTATATCACAGAATAGACTCCATTACCAACTCCATTGAAGCTGGGCCTGCTCGCTCAAGCAATGCAAGAGCAAGCTCCCACTCATTCCAACGCCTCAAACCTGCAGCCAGCTTCCTCAACGTTCCTTTCCTTATTTCTGGAATCCATGAAGGCACAAACCGAACCAGTAATCCCAAAAGGCAAGACACATATGTTCTCCAAGTAACTGGATCACACCCTACTGATACTTCCCCTTCCAACACTCCAGCAACAAACTCCATGTGCATTCCCACCGCCCTCGAATGGCTCGATGAGAAGGAAGAGCAGCCTGGAAATGTCTTTCTTAAGCCCCAAATGAATGCTCCAGAAAGCACAAGCATGTAGGCCATTGCATATCCCTCGAGTAGCCGGATTTTGGCTGCAGCAGGTCCAGTTGCCTGGCTGAACTCCCATGAAAGCAGTGCCGCCGGCAATGTCTCCTCATACAGGACTTGGACTAACAAAGGGCCACCTGCAACACAAAGCAGAGATGTTCCGAGCGTTGCCACGCTCCTCACTGCCAATGCTGCGGCGGCAAAGGATGACTTTCCAGATAACAGACGGGCAGATGGTTCAGTGCAGGATTGATTAACCACCAGCTCATTGGTCCACTCAATGACAAGCTTCAGGATGACATTATTCACAAAGTGGGTGTCATGAAAGGATCGGCACGAGCGGAGATAGAGGAAGCCAGGAGCTAATGGCAATCTGAGGCCTTGGATGGAAATGGACTGGCCTAGGAGACCAATGGCGCCACATTGGCTGGCGCCATTGCCGAGGAAGGAGGAGAAGCAGCTGCGAATGAGCTGAGCAACAGCCTCTTTGTCACGGGTGAAGGGTGAGCGAGTAGCTGTAAGGACTATGAAGTCATGCCATCTCCGAACCTTCTGTGCCCACAGAGCACCAATGATGGGCATGGTAGGCCATGGACTCCCAGCAGAGCTGTTTTCAAGTGCCTGGCCGACCACTGCATGGATGTACTCCAAGCTCTTGTCCAGCTTGAATGTTATAGTCAAGCTGACAAGTGCAGCCATGGGCAAAGGAAGCATTGGCACTTTACCACCTGAAAATAGTAGTTAATGAGCAAGAGTTGTAATCGAAGGTGCCATGTAACAACGTAGAGTTTTAAATATGAAAGATTGGATGGATTTTTAAGCTCATATTACTTCAAAGTGAGAGCCCTTCCCTCAACAATAAAACAATACAACTAATCCCTCAATCATGAATCATGTATGCTATTGATTTATCTCAAAAAGGTCATTATGAAGATGGGTATTAGATCGATAATTCATTTCAAAAGAACATGATTCAATGCCCTTCATCCATTGTTTTGTTGTGGCCAATCTGAACTTCCCAGGTCAAACACTCTCAATCTAAAAAAGTGTTGGGGAGAGATGAGGAGTAAACACACTTTTTGGGGAGAGATGAGGAGTAAACACCAGAATGACGAAACAAGAAATAAAGTAAAAAACAACGGAAAAGTGAAGGACACCATGATTTAACATGAAAAAAATCAAAATAGGGAAAAAAACCCACGGAGCCACACCACACCAAGAAATCTCCTTGCTTCTCTTTTCACATGCACCATTCTCAATGTCTACACACTCAAAATACAATAAAAAAATAAAATAATCCCAAGGGATGCAACCCTTCAGAGAAACAACAAAGAAAACCATCCAGACCGTCTCACAGCGCTGCAGTGCCAATTTGGAGTGTTGCGGCACTCAAGCCTCTGTCTTGCACTGTTGTTGCGTTGTATTTATACTGCTTCAGCGCTCTGCTATTTGACGTTCAGCACTAGGACACTCGGAAACACATCATTGAAAGCTTGGGTACACAGCGCTAGGGCGTTATACAGAAAAATACTTTTGGGTGCAAAGCACCTGAACCCAAGCAAGGGATAAACCCCCTGCACCCCACAACGAACACGACAATATTTGAGATCGGAGACAATAGAATAACTAGATTAATCAACATAATCAGATTCCACACATAACAATCTCCCACACATAACAGATTCCGATCAATCCTTCTCCTGATCTATAAAACCAATTATAGTACCAATAGTGTGGCTCAACCTTGCTCTCATCTTCCATGAAAACCAACTGAAGCAACACATAGCTTCAATTTATCAATTGTCATCATCTTCGTCAGCATGTATGCAAGATTCTCAGTCGTGTTTATCTTCTCCAAAGATAATTGACCATCTTTCAAAAGTAGCCCGATGAAATGATATCAAAGCTGGATGTGCTTCTTCATGGCATCAAATGTAACATTATTGGCTAGATGTATAACACTCATGATGTCGCTATATAGCTTCCCATTCCATTGACCCTTGACAAGTTCTGTCAAGAAACTTTGCAACCAAATCATCTCTTTGCTAGTCTTAGTGATAGCAATGTACTCAGCTTCTGTGGTTGAGAGCGCAACAATCTTTTGTAGCTTGAAAACCCAACTGACGGCAGTCTTTCTCAAAATGAAGATATAACCTGTTGTGCTTCTCCTACCATCAAGTTCTCCAGCAAAATCAAAATCTATATAACACTGTAAATCAATCCATGCACTACCAAACCAAAGAGCTTTGTTAACTGATTCTATAAGGTACCTAAGAATCCACTTAACGGCCTCCCAATGAAGTTTGTTTGGGTTACTCATAAATCTATTAAAAACTCTCACTGCATCTGCTATATCAGATCTTGTGCAGATCATAGTATACATCAAACTTCCAACTGCTGAAGCATATTGAGTCTTCTTCATATGTTCTTCCTATGCTTCAGATGTAGGCGATTGTTTCTTGGATAATTGAAAGTGACTACCCAAGGGAGTTCAATTTGGCTGCCTCACTCATGTTGAATCTCTGAAACATCTTTTTAACATACTCTGTCAGAGACAACTTCGGTATACCTGCATTTCTATCTCTACTAATTTTCATACCAAAATATTTTTTCGCAAGATCCAAATCTTTCATTTCAAACTCATTTGATAATTATTCTTTCAGACATCTTATCTTCTCCATATATGAACCTGCAACCAACATGTCATCTACATACAAAAGAAGAATAATATAACAGTTATCAAAATGTTTGAAAAAATAACAGTGGTTTATCTGGCACTTTGTGTACCAATTATCTGACATAAACTTATCAAATCTCCTGTATCACTGTCTTGGTGCCTGCTTCAGCCCGTATAAGCTCATCTTGAGCCTACACACCGAATCTTCATTACATGTGGCCACATATCCCTTAGGTTATATCATATAAAACTCTTCGTCAGGATCACCATGAAGAAATATTGTCTTTACATCCATCTACTTTAGATGTAAATCCTCAATTGCTACCATGCTTAGTACAACTCTGATTGCAGTCATCTTCACAACTGGAAATAAAATTTCAATGAAGTCCACTCATTCCTTCTGCTGAAAACCTTTAACTACAAGCCTGACCTTGTAGCGCTTGCTACCATTAGGTTCTTCTTTCAGCCTATAAATCGACTTGTTTTGTAGTGCTCTCTTGCCATATGGTAACTTTGTCAACTCCCCCAAGTCTGATACAACTCAAGTGAATGCATCTCATCATCCATGGCTTGCTCCCACTTATTTGAATTATCAACTTGAATGGATTCATCACTCTAGTTCACCACTATCTATGAGCAATAAATAGTACAAGGAAGGAGAATATCTTTCTAGCCAGAGATTCTGCAAGATCTCCTAATTTCAGTAGCACGAGTCTAAGGTACTCTCTATGCTTCATCAACTTTATGTTCTTGATCATCATCATCATCTTTCTCAACATATTTGGAAGAATATTCATGAGTCCCGTCTCTATCCTTATACACTTCGAATTTAACATCCTTGCTCCTGATGAACTTATGATTCTGATAATCCTAAAATTTATAGCCAAATTCATCTGAGCCATATGCAATTAATGAACACTTGATAGATCTTGGATCAAGTTTACTCCTAGATCCTGCATCAATATGAACATAGGATGAACAACAAAAAACTTTGAGGTGGGATATACTAACCTCCTTTCCACTCCAAGCTTCCTCATGTAGCCTCTCATTCAGAGGAATTGAATGATCACGATTAATCAGATAAACTGTAGTATTCACTGCCTCTGTACAGAACTGTTTGGATAGACCTACATGTAACCACATGCTCCAAGCACGCTCAGTGATAGTTCTATTCAAGTGCTCTACGACACTATTTTGTTATGGTGTTTTTGAAACAATGAACTCATGCTTTGTTGACCTCATTTTTGTATGAGGTCACTTGGACTACTCTTGACCTTAAATTAGTTTAATTTCCAAATTAATTTAAATCCTAGAATCTCGCGAAACAAAGCCCCTCCCGCATGGTCGGCCACCCTTCCCGCCGCCTCTCCCGCAGGCGCCGCCTCTCTCCGGCGAACTTGAAGTGTTCGGCCGCCTTGTAGGAGAAGTCCACAAACGATTTTAGGTATATTTTTTAGTTTTTGGTTAGATTTTTGAAGTGAAAGAAATTCTAAGGTTTTAGATTTTTTGAATTATTTTGTGTGATTTTCGATTCTTTCATTAGGGATCATGATTATTTTGTGTGATTTTCGATTTTCATATATCATTTAGATGTTTTTATTGTAAGGTACAATATTGTTATTATTTTCCTGCTAAAACTCTTATTTTTTCATTTACGCAATTCTGTGTCCGTGAGGCTTACGCCTCGCCTCACGGACAAAAACCGCCTCGAGGCTTATTTATGCAATTTTAAACCTTGTGAACAACCAAAAACTTTGAGGTGCGATATACTAACCTCCTTTCCACTCCAAGCTTCCTCATGTAGCCCCTCATTCAGAGGAATTGAATGACCACGATTAATCAGATAAACTGTGGTATTCACTGCCTCTGTACATAACTGTTTGGGTAGACCTACATGTAACCACATGCTCCAAGCACGCTCAGTGATAGTTCTATTCATGTGCTATACGACACTATTTTGTTATGGTGTTTTTGGAACAATGAACTCATGCCTGATTCCATTCAAAGCATAATACTCTTTGAACTTCTTATCACATACTCACCACCATTATCTGATCTGAGACACTTGAGCTTCAGACCTATCTCAAGCTCAACCATGGCCTTCCACTTCTTGAAAACATCAAATACACCTGACTTGCATTTTAAGAAGTGCAGCCATACCTTTTTACTTTGATCATCAATAAATGAAACAAAATACAAAGATTCTCCTATAGAAATAATTGGAGCAGGACCTCATAAATCAATATGCACTAACTCCAACTTCTTTGACTTGACCTTTGAACTAGTATTTGAAAAACTCACCCTATGTTGCTTTGCATATACACAGTCTTTAAAAAAAATCCAATTCTATAAATTTTAATGAAGTGTTCCTTTAGTAAGAAGTGAATGCATACCTTTCTTACTGCTATATGACCAAGCCTTCAATGCTAAAGTCCTCCATCAATATCTGAATCTACTACTCCAATAGAATATGCTTTTTTATTGATAATATATATAATGCCTTCAATACTGCCACGAGGTATAACCATAGCCCATTTTGTCACCTTCAACGTATCTCCTATGAGTGATGTCACATGGTCTGAGTTTGCAAGTTGACTCATATAAACTAAACTCCTCTTCAGACAAAAAACGTGCTTAATATTCTTGAGTATCCAAATTGATCTATTTGACATTCTGATATCAACATCTCCCTGTCCAATGATGTTGCAGGGCTTATTGTCCCCGAGATACACTTTACCCAAATCACCTTGAATATAGTTATTGAATGCCTCCTTATTAGGACTTGCATGAAAAGAAACACTTGAATTTATCACCCAAGATTCAAAATTGTCCAGAGATAAAATCAGAGAATCTGACTGACATTATTCTGCAGATATATTTACATAATGATTTTTGTCTTGACCTCCACACTACCCTTCTTTGGAATTATACAATCCTTCGAGTGGTCATTCTTTACACAGCTCTAGCACACAACTTTTCCTCTACCTGAAGCAGACTTTCCTCTCTTTGATTTAGATCTCCTCTATTTGGATTTCTCTCTAAACCCCTTCCCCTTGTTTCAACATTCAGCGTAGAATTTGAAGATTCACCGTTCACCCTCCTGCAAACCTTTTCATTAAGCACTAACCTCATAATGTCCTCAAAGTTCAGCTTTGAACTTCCCGAAGAGTTACTCACAACAATAACAAGCCCATCTCAATTTTTTTGGCAATTAAGATAACAATAACAATGCCCTCACATCATCATCAAAATTGATGCCAATTGAACTCAATTGACTTATCACAATATTCAAATTATTCAGATGTTCTGCTTGGGTTGTTGTCCAACATCTTCATATTGAATAACTTCTTCATCAAGAAAACTGTATTTGAGGCCGATGGCTTATCATAAATCTTGATCAATGCAACAATGAGATCGACTGTAGTCTTCTCATTTACAATGTCGAATGCAACAAATGAGAAAAGTGAGAAAGAGTATCAAACTTAGTGCAGTCCGGTCAAGAACCTTCCATTCCTCCATAGTCATAAAATCCAACTTCTTGGTGATTCCTTCCAATGGTAAATACAACTTCTTTTGATAAAACAAATATTCAATTTGCATCCTCCAGAATGCAATGTTCGAACCATTGAACTTTTCAATCTTGTACCTTGCTTCGTCTGCCATTACTCCCACTCGATATGAAGAACCTCGCTCTGGTACCAGTTGTTGGGGAGAGATGAGGAGTAAACACCACAATGACGAAACAAGCAAGAATAAGGACACTATGATTTAACGTAGAAAAACTCAAAATAGGGAAAAAATCACTGAGCCACATCACACCAAGAAATCCACTATGAAAATTGGAAGAAATAAATATAGATCTCTCTTCTCTCTCTCCTTGCTTCTCTTTTCACATGCACCGTTCTCAACATCTACACGCTCAAAATACAAGATAAAACCAAGTAAAAAAACCCCTTCAGAGAAACGAGAAAGAAAACTATCCAGTCTTATCTCGCAATGTTGCGATGCCAGTTTGGGGTGCTGTGGTGCTTAAGCCTCCATCTTTCATTGCTGCAGTGTCGTATCTATGCTGCTGTCGCACTCTGTTTTCTATCGTTCAGTGCTAGGACGCTCAAGTACGTAGAGCCGGACATTGTACGGGAAAAAACTTTTGGGTGCAAAGCACCCAAAAACCCAAGCAGGGGGTAAACCCCCGCATCCCCTAGCGAACATGACAAACTTTGAGGTCCGAGACAACTGAATAACCAGATTGATCAACACAATCAGATTCCACACATAACAAAAAGAGAACTGGTTATGCTTCCAGCAACGAAGTACGCTGATTTGACTACCAGATTGTACTGGTTTTGTGTCATTCAATTGCACGAGCAACATTTTCCAATGGGAACGTTGAAAATTCTTCAAAATAAATGTCCTCAATTAAGAAGCAGTTGAACTATTTAAAAATCAAAGACTATATTCTCCCTAGTTAAAAAGGATAAGCATAAAAATAAAATAAAATTAAAACGAGTACAAGGGCATATAAATGATATTGTACAAGACAATAATGAAAACAAAGCAGTGGATAAAAGAAACTCACCGCCATAGCATTTTGGAAGAGTAACCCCAACAGAAGCAAGAATTTCCCTGATCTCAGATTCAACCAAGAGAAGGTTTGTCGCAGGACTGGGCCAATCATCGCCATTCATTGCAACAGGCTCCCAAATGCCCCGAGTAATTTCTGCCGAGAAATAACTCACTATTGTTGCAAGAGAAGCTGGCAGGAAATCCGCAAGATCCCGCAGGCCTAATGAAAAGACCAAGTTTTTCACAATGTGAAGAACATAATAAAACGAAGGATTACTGCCAGAATGACAAGTTACCAACTTAGCACATATTGCATGATTGACAATCCGAAGAATACATGAGAAACAAATGCAAATAGTTTTCTGGAGTTTCAAATATGTTAATTCTGGCCAAGCTAAGGTCATTCTTGTCTTCGATCCCCACCCATATGATTTACAAGCCCAAATAACTTTTCATGTTATGCTCTTGTCTTTCTAATTAAGGGAACGACAGATTTACAACTTCGTCCCACTCCACTGATTCATCAAATGAAAGTTTAAAAGAATCCTACAAAAAATCAGTAGCAGAGAGCTTATAAGTGAGAAGGAATATATATAGGAATGTCAAGGCCTAGTCAGATTACTCATTAAGTAAGTTGATTCTGGCCACCTAGAAAGTTGAAATAATGGTCTCACAAAGGGAAATAATTTGAAAATAAAGGTAAATTCAGGAACCAAGTTTTATCCTTCTAATCCCAAGCCTTTACTTTCTTAAAACTTCTTCCATTGTTCTAATTGTTAGTTACTTCAGAAGATACCTAATCAATCAGAACTATCATAAGCAGGTAGCATACACCATAGTATCTCACTTCAAACGTGTTTTATAAGGAAGTTCACAAGTAATACAAAATCTTATGGATTTAATATTGATTCTTGATATCAACTTACTAAAACTTGAAACAATTTGATCATTCCAAAACCACTTTTAATGCTTTGTAGCTCCATTAATATTTTCTTAATAACATCACCACACCTTTAACATATTTTCTCAATATTCACCAAATTAATTCTAGTTGCATGATCATGTGCAGTTTTCATTGTGAAGTAAACTTACTAAATTTAGAAATGCTTTGATCAATGCCCCATTATACATACTGTTAATAACTTCATCAAGCCTTTAAAACATCTTCTCTTTTTGAATGGTCATATGAATGTGCAGTATGTTTCTTTATACAGGATGAACTAAGTGTAGTTGGATAATAAATCTAATCAATGGTCTCAAGATTCAATCAACCAGATCTGCATTAGGTGTACTTTTGTTCAAAGAGCCAAAAAGGGCCTTAGCTATGACAATATAGTTTTAAACGAGGTCTTGTGGCATTAGATTAGGTAGCCATAATTATGAATACTATCAGCATCAACCAATGAGCCTTGGTTATGATTGTTTGGTGGTTCATTGGAAGATTTGTTTAAACATATGAGATTATTGAATTTAGTTGCACATCAAATAGTTGATTAATATATTGGCATTAAAATGCCAAATGATTGACCCTCCACTCATATGCTTAAACTTTGGATTCAAAATGAGTTTAACCACTTGTGTATTTGACCCAACTTTGACCACCCTGTTATTCCCACTCCATAGCAAATAGTATCAGAAACTATGGTCCAACTAAGATTAAGTGGTGTGGGGCTGAAACTCGCGTTCTGGCCTCTCTGCGGCCCCATTCTTTCTTTTCTTCGAGTCATCAAGTAGAGTTTTAACAAATAAGTTTCAAAACAAATTTTCATAAGGCAGATTGGATTGTGAATAAGACACACCTAGAGATTTAGCCTCATTTTACGAGGACTTTATGATTTGAGTTTAGGTTTCCTATAGGCGCAAGCCTTTATAGTTAATTACCCCTCCCGATAGCAACAAAGAACTTTCGATTAAGGTTAGTCGTCAAACAGATATAGGGTATCTGGCGTATAGTAGAAGCATGGTTTAGGTATTTGAAAATTTAATATTTAAAATTGAAAATTTACCACCTTGCACTTAAAGCAGATGGTGGGGGGAGTGGTGATGGACCAGGTCAAGATCCCATGGTTCCATCGTCCCGGGTCATCATTGTCCCTAGTCTATTTAGTAAGAGGAGGTAGTTGACCCAACTTGACAGAAGAATCCTTGTCGGCAACCATGGGTTACTTCGTTCAAGGGTACCTTATAGACCTGGGTGAACATTTGTCTAAGAGAAAAATTTTGAATGCACTTTAATTCATTACTCAATGATTTGAAGCCGTTTGAGAACATACGAGCTCTGACCATGAATGTAATTTAATGGTGTCATTTTGCGGCAAAATTACCCGGTGAGAGGGTCTCGATCATAACCGTTTACCTATGGTGTCATTAAGTGGCAAAACCACTAGTTAGACAACACGTGTCACGTCCTTACTAGTAATGGACGATTTGAGAATGAATACTTATGATATTCTCAGCCAGACATTCGCTCTTTGTGAGATGAAGTGATTTTCAAATTTGTTCACATCGGCAAACTATTACAGAGGGTGGATGGGTATTTTGTTTTAAGTATTTGATGATTTATTTCATTTTAAATATCTTGATTTTGGGGTGATTTTGGAATTTTGGATTTTTTAGGCAATTTGGGAGGCATCTTTAATTCCTTGGGATCCCCTCCGGCTTGAGGTTTTTTGTCCACACGGTGTCATCGGGATGGTTATGGGAAATTTTACTTGATTGGTTGAACCTTGTCAGCTCTGTTTACTTACCGACAGAGGATCATGTTCGTCACCGGCTTTATGTCCTTATTAGTAAATTTTCTTTGTTATAGGCCTTAAAGGTCTAATATGAATGTATAAAATAAATATCTCAATTGACACCATGATTATATACTTGTTTGATAGTTTGAGCCATGTCGACTTCTATCTATTCACATAGAAGAATTGTCGGGGCCCATACAGGCATATACATCTGCATGATGCATATGAATGCATCAATATGTATTCCCATGCATGGGGGTATTTTGAAATGCTTGACACTAATAAGCCATGTGAATGACTATCATTTGAGTGCGTACAACATTGTATTTAAAAGCCTGTATACACCTTCTGTATGGTTGTCCAAGTGTTGCAGATCTGGTGGCATTGTTTAATAATGCACTGGGTTTCATTTGTTGTGCATCAATAGTGCAGCTTAGTTTGTTTCATCCTTTATACATCATTGTCATTTTTTTCAATATTCAGACTGCAGGATTGTACTTCAGCTTGCAAATGCTCCACATCGCATCAAGAGCTTTCTGCTTGTTGCTTGGAAGCGAGCTAATTTACCTAGTGTGACAGCCCGACGTTGCAAATTTGTTGCCTCGGTTTACAAGTGGCTCGTAGTTTTTACTAATGATTCCCTGTTTTTGCTGACAGGTGAATCCTAGCGTCGCATTATGGATCGTTTGCTACTTTTTACAGGCGAACTGTCGTGCACTGACAAATTTCATATAGATGTTTGTGTATAATTGCATTCCTTACAGGCTTTTGTGCTTTATTGTAGATAGCATGTTGGGTATGTGGCGGATTTTCTATGACAACTCATAAGTGTTTGCATTTGTTACATGTCATCCATTTTTACTTGCAGGGGATTACTGCATTTGCTCGCCACTAAATTATCACAGATTGTAGAAATACCCCAGCATTTAGTGCATGTTATTCGTCGTTACCTGTAGACAGACTACTATATGCATGAAGAATCTCCAACAGTGGTTCGTAAGAGTTTGTATGTATTGCTAATATTCTATCCTTGCTTGCAAATAGCATGCTACATGAATATTTATGTTCACAGGGGATTCATCATACCTGTACCATATCTATTATCAACACTTGCATGTAGATTAATGTGTTCATTTGCAAACTAACGTTGATTGCTGGGTAAGCTGCATTCGTCATCAGCTTCCTCACATATGTTGATTGTTGTTACATACAGATGAACTACTATATGTATGATAAGTCTCCTACATTAGCTCATGGATGCTCGCATTCATTATATGACACACTGTGTGTTTGCAAAAAGTTTTTTTGTCTGCAGATGAGTTGGTGTATTCATCTGCATATTGGTGCTCACTACCAAGTGAGTTGCATTCACTGTTGATCTCCCCACGCATACATCCAACAATAACTGACTATGCTCATGAGCTGGTTGTCATTGACTGGAGGGACATAATAATATTCATTGCATGTTTCTTATAGTCACTCGTAGCTAGTTGTTCATCTGTCATTGTCTACATGAGAGTTGCATTGAATATAAGAATTCTAATATTGTTTGTAAACAAGTCATTATGCATATTAAGAGTTCTCATTCCTGCTTATTGGCAAGCTACATCATTAATCACAAATCTCCTTGCTTTTAATTAGTGGATAGCCTGTTGTATATATGGCTAGTCTCCTACAATGGCTCGTAAGTGTTTGCATTTGTTGTAGTCCTTCTGCTTTTGTTGCGCTCTTTAGTCCTTGCTTGTAGATGAACAGTCAGTGAATATTTACATTCATCATAATTTTCTTATGTGTTTACGAGGAGCTCTTCACATTTATAGCAAATTGGTTGTCACCACTTATAGGAGCTCATCATATTCATCATGTATTGCCCTTCATTACTTGCAAGAGTTCGATGTGTTTGCTTGCATTTTAATGTTGACTGCATATCGTTGTTACATTTATTGCACATCGACCACTTTTGTTTGTAGACGATGTATCATGTTCGAATGAAGGGGTTATTATACTCATTGCATGTCGGCAGTCGTTGTTCGCAGGGAACCGCTATACCCATCCACAAGTGATTGACATTAATTGTAAAAAGTATTTTTGTATTCATTGCATATGCATTGTTATTAATCCACAGATACATTGAAATGCTCATTATATATCCTCATAATTGCTTGTGGGCATCATGTTTTCATTATTATGAATTTCTCATTTTTGTTCAATTTGCCTTTTTTTGTTTTGCTATATTAATTAATGTTCAATTCCCCGTAGCTCGATTCCCTGTGGTTCATATAAGTTTTATTCCCTGTTATTCAACTCAAGTCAACTTATGCTTACCGCCATTCACTAATTCACAAGTTCAGTTTGTTATCGTTTTGTTTAAGTTCAAGTTCTCTATTCACTGAAAATTTCGGCAACCTCCTAATGTCTCCCCCATTTAGGGGAAATTTGGAACGCTGTGCCTTCCAACCATACTACAAGAGCGTGTATGGCAAGTTTTGGGTGACACCGCGGCCGTTGTTCTTCAATCCCACCATGCTACAAGAGCGTGTATAGGTCTTCGAGGTACTTGTTTGAAATGCGCAGTTTTTTTTTCCCACAGGCATGACGGCACATACACGAACACTTAAAGTTGTCCCCTCCATGCTACGAGAGGGTGCATAAGACCCACCCGCCTCGCCACAAGTGTCAAACCGAGTTCTCTCCCATGCTATGAGAGCGTGTATAGGTGGTCCCCAGACACGCCGCGATCGCCAAAAGCAGGATTTGAGGGCTTTTGAGTTTGAGGACATTATGCCTTGGTGAGTGATGGTGGCGGTGTCGGGGTGACGACGATAAATGAGGACACAAGAATATTCCTTTTTCTTTCCTTCTTTTTTTTTACTTTTTTTTTTTAAATAATAATAATATAAACTAAACGTAGAATCTAGGGCAATGGGCAATGGCAACGATAAGTGAAAACATGTGACTGATATTTTTATGAAAATGTTGGATTCTCTACCTTTCTCTCATTTATGTAATAAACTGAAATTAGAAGATATATATGCTCCATCTTGAGGGATAGCGTTAGCTTGGGATTATATGAAATATAAATATATTTATAGTTGGAGAGTAGTGTATATTATTTCGGGTATAAACTATAATGTTATATTAATCAATTTAGTATAAATAGAGGAGATCTGTATTAAATAAGGCAACAAATTCATGCTCAACCCTTTGACATTACAAGCAGTTCTAATCAAGTCCACATCAGATGCTGAGAAACAGGGCCGGTGGCAGTTAAAAACTTGCCTAATTTCCCTCTTACAAGTAGGAAGTAATGCCTCAATGTTTTGGGATTGATGAATTTCTAGTTGTTGGACCATGTTTATGGTAAGATATCATTATCAAATTACCCAGTTTTCTTAAAGTAGGAAAACATTGAACGAGTTTTTCTGATACATCATTGCTAGACATAATAAATAAAATGAAATGGCATGATATATTTCAGAAAAGTAAGGTGAAATTAATTGTCAGGAAAATATATAGAGATAACAAAGCATCTAACCTGTAACTAGGTCCCTAGATGAAAGCCTTCCATTGGCACATGCAGTCAAAACTGCTTCAAGAACAAAAGGAACAGCTTCTAGAATATCCCAAGCAGGAAGCAACGGTCTCTGATAAGCATCTTCAGCAGCACTTACTGGCGATTCACTTATGCTGCTACCAGATGTTGATGAAGGGTTACCAGCAATGTTTCTTCCATTACTCATTTTACTACATATCATGTTCAATATCTTATTGGCTACCAGATGCACTGGACTTTTACTACAAAGTCCAGAGAGAGTAGATGCAATGCAGGCTTTATTTTGTAGGTACCAAGTTCCTAACTTCGGAAATGAGTCAATATAAACAGGTTGACCAGGTGATGCAGCAGAGTTATTGCCTTTATCCTTATCAATGGAATTTTTTACTGCAATGCGATGATTACGTAGCAGCATAAGATAATCCAAAGTTACCTCCAGCCTGACTGTTCCACCACGACCTGCTATTCGGTGCTCCTGAGGGGGCTTATAAAACTTCCATAAGCGCAGAAGAAAAAGAAAAGCACACGAGAATACAGAGTAAACTGATGTTTCATCAAATGCGCTTGGCCTATGATTGGGCTGAGGTGGAACTGATCCAAATGCCTCACAGAGTGGCATCAAAGCAGCTGCTACTTCTGGAACCTGCACAACAATCCTGACGTGAGATATATATAAGCACCAAGCAAGAAAAAAATAATCTTGCTAACAAGGTTAGGGCATCTCATTTTTCACTCCAAAATGCAGTGTAACAAAAAAAATGACGTGATTCATCTCCAATCGAACTCCATTTTGCGCCCAGAAACCGTCTTTCTCATTCGCGCATTTCTTTCCACAAATGCGTGATTCATCTCCAATCGAACTCCATATTGGCGACGCACTGTTCACCCGCAACCAAATACCGGAAATTTTGCCGTTCAGCTGTAGCTCACGAGCGACGAAATTCATGCGTTTGGAGTTCGGTTGGAGATGCCCTTAGAAGCGAGTATAATTCAAAGAGTTAAATATGCAATGTTAGAAGTATTTATCATTATAGTATCTTTAGAAGTTCGAAATTTAAACCCTGGTCAAAGAAAATTTTGGAATATCCTAGTAGCATCTAGTGCCAAACACTAGTTGATAATCATGAATAAAAGACCAAGTACCATACTTACATGAAATACCTCACGGATGACTTAATGGTTTAATAACCAAATATTTCAACAAGGAAATGGATGCATTCTCCATGATTTGCAATGCATGCATTAAATCAAAATCAAAACCTTCATAAGATGTTTAATAGGCGATTTTTTATGCTTTTCATCACTGAACTAAAAATGAAAGTTTTTTTTCCTTATAAATGCCCTTCAAAAAAGCTAAACAAGATCATGCTTTTAATTGCATTAGCAAACCCCAAATAACACTTACTAATCATAATAAAATTGACTTGTGACCTCATTATTCAGTGACAGGAGCGCATAATATTCCCCGCCTACGGTATACAAAGCTAAAGAAGCATTTATAACCCTCACCGTTATGACTCCTGCAATATTATGAAGGGACTCTACTTCTCTGGCATAAAAATCAAATGCTTATAGGCACACATGATATTCCCTTCCTGCAGTACACAGCAACTAAGGCTTCATTTGGGACGGCTTTCTTACGGCTTCTTAAAGCAGCTTTTAAGTAGAAAAATTTTATTTTTTGTACTACAAAACTGCTTTAAAAAGCAGTAAGAAAGCCTTTCCAAATGAAGCCTAAAAGAAGCTTATACCCCTCACAATAGCACAACTTTGATAGCTCCTGCAATATTATGACAGGTCTGTTCCATCTTGCATAAAGATAGAATGCTTACCAGTCCATATAAAGATATGATATGAATTGCCTCAACGGAGCAAGCTCCAAAAAGAATAGCACTTAGCATGGGCATGTGCCCTATCAAATGGCTGCAGATTTCAGGTCCTGACACGCCAGGTATCGGAGTTGTCAGGAGCTTAACCACCATGTGTACAGCATGCTCCTAACAAACAAAAAAAAATGTCTTAACAAGGACAGAAAACTCAAATCTTCATACATGAAGTAGTACAAAAGCATCATCATCATTATTAACCTCATCCCAACTATTTAGGTTCAGCGAAGTACTACAACACAGTCAATTCAAAATATGCTAGGGAGTGTGCACCAAGGGGTATCAAAATTTCTTTGTTATCGGCAAACTAAACCCAAGCCTTTGCATGCCTTAAATATAATTTTCATTATATTACAAGCATACTGCAAAACTTTCCAAATTTATTAATTTGATCTGTAATACGGAAATCTGTGGTATGTTCTTCAGTTCATGCATATGTGAACTGAAGATTTATTCCGGTTGAAATCAACTTCAAACACTGATAGCAACATCACAAGTGGCTTTCCAGAAAAGAAATACTTTGCTAATTGATTTATTCCAGAAGGAATCAATATGATTGTGAAGCCAAGAAAAAAGGCATGATTTGGTGTTGAGCAACCTCCAGATCAATTTAGTTTTATTCATGATAATTAACGTGTCTAGATAGGGGAGACCCAATCCGCCATTATATTTGGGTAAGATGGTAGTATTCCATATGATAGTACATATTTTATTTCCCACACCAACGTCGTGCAAAAAGTTACTAATGAGACTAGAAATTTTCTTTCTTAGACCCTTAGAAAGAATGATAACCAATAGTGGAGACAATTAGAAATGGAAGATCTAATCAACGGATGAGTTCCACCTCTGTCTCCGCGAGCCCGTCCTACATGGACCAGCTCGATCGGTACAATGGACCAGTCTAACAATAACCCCCTCCCAAAGGCTCATCTTGTCCCCAAAACGGAAAGATAACACTCTCCTCAATTTTCTTGTCATCACAGACAGTGAGAACATGAATAATTCGGTCCTTACACATGCCATAGTGTATGCCTCTCGTCACATCTTAAACAGAGCCCTTTCGCCCTCCTCCTGTAATTACGTTTCTGTGAGCTTCTTGAAGTTGTCCCCAAGTCTTCGTCCTACAATCTTCTCCTGAAGAGTATCTAGTGTTGGCTCATTGGATGACAAAAAGGTGGTGGTCATTCTATACAAGCATCCTGAGCTATTGACACCCATCCCTCTCTCCAGGTGCCTCTGATCCTCCACCAACTAAGCTAGCTCCATAGCCTCTCCCAAGTCATGAGGCCTCATCACTCTAACCGCCATGTGAATCCCTGGTTCAATCCCTTCATAAAGTTCTCCTCCAATACAGTCTCCGAAAGTCGGTCAAGTTGACTGGCCAGGTACTCAAATTGCTCACGGTACTCCACCACTATCCCCTCATGCATCAGAGCAAATAACTGCTCATAGAAGTCCCCTCCTGTGCTGGTTTGAAAATGTTCCAACAAGCAGTCCTTAAACTCCCTCCAGGTTCGTATCGGTCGCTTCGTATCCATCCATTTGTACCATGTTAAAGCTTCCCTTCCAATCACATCTCGGTTGTCTTCAGTCTCTCCCCCTCCGTCAACATGTTGACGGTAAAGTACCTTTCCACCTTGTAGATCCACCCATGGGCATCCTCTCCCAAAAAAATAGACATTTAGCTTCCTCACCCTCAAATCTCCTATGTTCCCTCTATTTCCTTCATAATTTTTCATTCCCCAAGGAATTGGTTCCCCCCAAGTATCTCAATCATCCCTTCTAAATTCATAACCAAACCTTTCATCAAATTCACACATTCTCCTTTCAAATTCAACACCCATTGGAACATAACAAACCCCTCCCCTTTCAAGTTCAGTATCCCTTTAGTCATAATTATCCCTTTCCCTTTTAAATCCCGCCCATCTCCTCTCTAATTCAACAAATTTTTGTTCTTGCCCTACCTCCTCCCAACTCTCCCGATACCCTCTTCTCGACCCTTCCCCAGAAATAGGCTCTAGAGGAGGAATTCTCTCTTCTCCTTTTAGAATCTCCACCTCCTGATCTTCCCTTTGTCTAATTGGATTAGAGTTTTGCCCGCTTCCTTAGTCGTTGGAGACTTAGCTTACTTCTGACGACGTCGTTTTCGATTGTCCCTTGAGCATCTTTTTCAAGTAATTCCTATCAATCTTTGGAAAACGAGAGAATTCTCCACAAAAATCCACACAAAATCAGAAAAACAATAGATAATTTGTATTATTTGATGAAAGGGAAATGGAAAATACCAAGATACAATTGATCCTCTATTCGAGAGGAGGATCTAACTCTCCCAATTCTCTAGACGCCGCTAGAGCCCAAACAAAACCTAAGAGAGATATCAAATTTCAATCAATTTCAAGATGGCCTAAACCTAGGAAAACAAACTATTTAATGCATATAATGAAAAAAGAAATCTCTAAATAGTCCCTACATTCAAGTATCCCTCTTATGTCACTCCAAAAACCTTCTTATTTCAACTACTAGAGCCCGCGGTTTGAGCGGCACGCGGAGGAGGCGAACGAGTTCCGCCTCTGTCTCCAGGAGCCTGTTTTGTATGGATTGGTTGGACCGGTCCAATGGATCAATCTAATAATATCACTATTAGCATAAAAGTTGCAGAAAACCTTGACAAGAGTGTAAAACCCGAAAAATATCAATTTTAGACATCGCATGCTTTTCGATGCGCCACGATGAGATTTAAGTGAAATTTTCAAAATTGTCGGAATTTGACAAAAATAATTTTATAAAATTTTACACAAAATTTGGAGCAAATTGGTATATATAACTTATATTTAATTTCGCTATTAGGGAGATAAAAAATGTTAGAAATTTCATAATACCTAGAATGCCCTTATGAATAATATTAAAGCGGATATAGTTTAAGTGAGGGCAAGATGGAATTTTAGCAATCCCTAAAATAGCCCGTAGCTTTAAGGGACCGAATTCATTCGATCCCTTTCATTCATTCATGCAGCTGCTCCACTCGGCCGAACGTAAGAGGCGGACGGGCAAGGGACGGACGGTGGCATTGGTGGAGGATTCCGGCGACGGTTCGTGGGGGGATCGAAGGGAAATAGTAGGAAAGAGTAAGGTGAGTTCTTAGAAGCAATTTCTCATGGTTTTCCTTAGAGTTTCCTCAAGAAAGAAATATAAGGTTTGAGGAAAACTTCAAATTTATTTAAGAGAATGAAAGGATAGGTTTAGGAGATGATCTTAAACATGAAAATAAGGGTTTTCACCTAAAATATTGAGTTAGAAAAATTAGGACTTCTTCAAATTGTTGGATTTTTAAGAATTTTTTTGAGAAGTATTGTTTTAAATGATCATAGGAAGGTTTCTAATAGTATAGATTAGGGTTTTTCCACAAAATGCAATTTTTGTGATTTTAATTTATTTTAAATCCGAAAATTAAGCTATTTTAATTTAATTTATGCTTTAGAAATAAGTTGATTTGAGTGATTAGTATTATTATACAATTAGAGAGAGAGAGAGGGAGAGAGAGAACTTAAGGTGGTTTTAAAAAAAAAAGAGATGAATAAGTTTAATTTAGATTTATTTTGTAGATTTTTGTTAGATGTTTATTTGTTGTGACCTCGAAGGAAAGAGAACTAGTGTGAAAATCAAATCATTTAAATCGAAGTGAGTACTCATGGTTCTTTATTATAGTGATATATTTGTTTCTCTTCAGTTATACGTTTTGAAAGTCCAAGCATGTTTATGAAATTTTTATGGTTACTTTAGATCATGATTATATTATTCTTATCATATGATTGATTATGTAATTTATATGTTATATTTCATGACATTATATCATAAAGTTCATATGTTATAGAAATGAGATAATATGATTGTTATAGAATGCTTGTATGTGCATGCTGAATTGATGGAGCTCACCTCCTTATGGAACTAATTGTGGATATTGTACTCGTGCACGTTAAAATGGTAAAGGTTATAGAAAAGAAAATGGTAAAGCATTACATTTATGGTACTGGACGGTGGCTCCTGTGACGGTTGTACTATATATGAAATTAGAAAGTTACTAATATTGATATGATGAATATAAAATGAATATGAAAGGATATGTGTTTATGATTTATGCATATGTTCAAATGATATGTTTATAGGATATCAAATTTATTATATGTTTTAATGAAATGTGGCATCTAGCATATTATTCATTCTGCCTTGAATTACTGTAGTTTAGAGTCATATTTTACTTACTAAGCATTGAATTACTATTAGTTGTTAAAAAATTTCAGGTATAATTATTTTAAATCTTAAGGAGTAAAATGGGTGGGAACGTGTATCGTAGGAGAGGCGCGCCGGAAGAAAGGTATCTATATGAGTTTTAATGATTTTTATGTTTATGTGTTATTGAATTTAATGTTTTAGAGCCTCTTTCAAATGTTATGGTGATAGATTTAGAGATTGAATATTTTAGTCTACCGTCCGATCTCCGTTCCCGTCTCGCCTATGCGAGCTTATTGGGCCTGGTCGTGACACAGAGATAGGTTGATGTTTGTTATAAAGGAATCTAGGAAATCCTCAAAGGTCTTGAGCATTGACTATTGTTGCCTGCAATTTCAACATAACTATCCACCTGGTTTTTTATGAGGATCATAACTCATAATAGAAATGCATGTTAAATAGAATACCTGAATATTCCATCCACGGATAAGGGATGCACCACATAAAATCTTTGCTGCAGCAGATTTCTCTTCTTCAGATCCAGTTATTGCAGTGTAATACAACTTTTCAAGCTCCCCAACACTGGATTCACAAAAAAAGAGTCATAATGTCAGTGATTATAGCCACTGACATGATAAAGCTAGATAAAAAAACACTGTTTAATCAAGCAATGAAACTTTGCAATGCATTGAACTACTGATGTTTAATCTACTAATCCCATATGAAGTAAAAAAGTTAAAATCACCAATAATAAAATCTAAAATAAGAAATGCTGTATATGCTACCAGTAGGATAATTGTACAGAAAATCATTAATCACTGTTGACAATCTACAACATCAAATACATTTGTCCAACTGCTTCCTAATCAAAAATTGGAATTGAATTTTTTGAAATAACAGTATAGCACAAACAATATGACATACGCACCTTTATAGGCCATATACTAAACTTCAATTACATAATTTATAAAGGTAGACCATTCATATTCTTAAAGTACCTTGAAGCAGGTGTTGTCATTAGAGCATTTCTAAGTGAACGAGTTAGCTGAGCGCCCCCCATGAAGGCAGACCAGGGAGATTCTTCAGTTGACATAAAGTTTTTTGTTGTAGCAGATTGAACTACATAACCAGGCCAAAAGTAAGCAGAAGTATCAATCAACTTCCTAGCAATACATGCTTCAACTATGAGGTGGATCATGCTTCCTACTGCAAAGAAAATTATTATTTCAGCATGCAAACAAAAAGATGAATAATCAATAAGAAAAGTTGCAACTGATAATGTTCATGACTACAAAATTTTAGGTGGAGGGCATAAAAAGGTTTTTATAGGGTAAAAATCATAAGATACAATCATCAATATAAGTACTTAGTAAAATAAATTGCTCCTATCTTATCGAGCATAGCCTATGATGCAAAGCATAGATGTCAAGGTAAATGAAGATGGAATTAGAGTTTAATTGGCTTAGTTCGATGGAACGAATGATCAGCCAAAAAATGGTGTTGTCAACCCTTAACAAGGCTTAGAGTATCACACTAAGTCTATGACCGCTTGGACCACTTAAATTGGAGCTCAAACGGCCTTATACCAGCTAAAGAGAGTTAAACCATCACCCTCATGCCAGAAGCAGGGCATCTAGAACAAAGATTCTAGGTGCCCTTAGTGCTAAATAAGGGGAATTGTCGAAGCTATCCACCCCAAAACCTCCCCCAACTTTAGTTGTTGATGATTGACGCACCAACAACCTTCATTGCCTCTGATATTAGCTCGTTATTGTGTGTTTCACTCTATTAGTTCAAAGCTTCTTTGAACCATTATGCCACTTGCACTCGACTATATTGTGCCCTTCATCTCTAAATACTCCTCTTAGAAAATCTCATAGGGAGATGAGTGAACCCATATTAATAGTTGTTTCCACCAGATCTATAAAAGGACATGATAAATTTTTTTGAAATTATTTATATTTATCTGGTCATTGATTCTAAATTTAATCCAACCAAAAAGCTTATAAGATAGCTACTAATGATTTGGTGTCCTAAAATCACCAATCAAAGACATCATTGTCAACCGTTGCTAATCACCATTCATTGTTTGGGCCAACCAGGATTAATACTAACTGGCCCAAGACAAAGCTCGTTACATCTTAATTTGCACAAGTTTTTATAAAGTGAAATAACATGAGGATCATATCTAGTAGGTGACCAATCAGATCACTTAAAGATCCTGATTTTAGCAACAATTTGTGAAAAAACATAAAATTTGTCATGATCAAAGAAGTTAATGGTTTGATTTCTCTGAAATTAATAACAATAATGTTTTTTATATCATACAATTAAGATTGAAGAGGATGCTACCAAGAATCTATGAGCATAATCTATAAGAACTGGTTTTATCGGTTCAATTAAACCGGCCCTAGTTTAAGCACGGGCGTGTTAACCTCCATAGCAGGTTAAAGAATTTTAAATAAAAAAAAATATAATATCCATACCTCCTAGAATTTGTCGAATGATTCCGTCTGTATCTCGCCGAATAAACCGCAGCCTGCTACAGTACCCCGTACACTCTGTAGTTTGGCACTATTTTTTTTGTGACGAGGAAGCACTGTCCTTAGGCCAGTGAAAATCCCGGTCAACCTAGCATGCAACCCACACCAATTTACACGGGCCAACACTTAAGGCTTTCACTGCTTGCCAAGAGATTCGAACCAGGGACATGAGCTTTGCCCAGCCGGCTCTTCACCACCCGGACAAGCAGTGGTGGATTCGGCGTTGTTTCAGAAATCGTCCATACCTGCGTGCGGAAAACTTCACCTCCCGCTTGCGTTAAAATGAGGTCGAACGTAGCCCTTCGCTTCCTCCTTCAACGCTCGACTTCCACACACAACTACCGCAAAGCCTCCGACGCCTCTGCCTCCCTCAGAGTTCCAATCTCCCTTGTCCACTCCGACCTCAAGCTCCAGTCCTTCATTTCAAACTACATACCCGCCACCTTCCTCCTTCCATTCAGCCGAAACTTCCTCAAGCAAAGGCCGACCGACCCTATACCCGTCCGACTCTTACCCTAACCGCCTCCATCCCGCGACATCAAGCCGCCTTTGATGGCTTTTTCTTCCTGTTCAATCGGAAGTATCGACTGGAGCACGTCTGCTGTGAAGGTAAGTTCTCCATTTCACGCGCTCCTTTGGCTGGAGCTCATAAATCAAAGATAGATAGAGAGAGAGAGAGAGACCCATCTGAGCCCCCTTCCTCTCTGTCGGAAGCTACACTCAGCCGAGCCCCACAGTCCACTGTGTCGAATCTAGTGGCTTGAAGCAGCCCCTTGCTTTTCCCTCCTAGCCGCCCTCTCCTCCAATTTCAAAATATGGTCCCTGGGCCCACTTCAAAGGGCGGAACTTCCCCTTGTCCGCTCGGCTTAGCCCGCCTGGAAAAAACGCTGGCCGGCCTAGGGTGGATCGACACTTCTATGACCGGTCCAAAAGGGACCGGTCTATCACTTAACTCTTAGAAATAGAATGCATAACAAGTAATCAAGTATATACGTGAAAAGATTGGAGTAGCTCCAATGATAGATAAGATTAGAAAGAGTCGTCTTAGATGATTTAGTCATATAAAACCTCGGCATTCCAATGACTCAATTAGGAGAGTAAATGTACTAGATCTGACCTATATTAAGAGAGGTAGAGGTAGACCTAAAAATCCTTAAATGAGGATTTTAACTTTTAATAGGACACAAAAGAGAAAAGGATTCATGTGTCCAACCCTACGTAGTGGGATAAAATCTTGGTGGTGGTGTTGTTGTTTTATTATGGTATTGATTCTAAATTTTGTAGGTGTTGATTGAAATTTTATGGGCTGAGTTGAAATCAAACACTTATGAGTTGGACTTGATGGATATTAAAGTATAGAAGAATATAGACCGTTTGCATAGGAGCCCACATCATAGCTATATTTTACATAGAAGATAGAACAAGCTAAAAGAAAATAAAATGCATTGATACAACTGATATGAATAATTAGTTTTTAAGCTTTCGAAGTGTGTGGACTTTCAGATTTCCACCAATTATGGCTGAGACAAATGAAAAACATGACTAAAAAATCATGTACAACTAGTGCCATAAATTTCAGTTTTTTGTAATTTGGAAAGTGAAAAATCAAGCATGCTTGTAAGGAGCAACATTTATGTTCCTATAGATAATTTATGATGTTTAGCGATTTTAAATTACTATCATCTTTCACGGTGTAGATTAACATGGATGGAAGCATCAACACGAGTAAATGATGAAGAATTAACATAAGCTTGGAAGAAGGCCCTTCAAATCAAAAGACTAATTGGACCTATTTAACAGGAAAGATACAGGAAAATCAGTTTGAATCCCATCAGGTAGGAATCATTTATAAAAAACACAGGAACAGGAAAATGTGTTGAACAGACGTGTTGTCATGGTGAAGAATTAAAATATACACTAAAGCCTAGTTCAAAGGCACATTAGAGAGCTAAGTTTTCAAGGAACCTATTCTGGGTAAAAAATCAATAAATGGTTCAAAACCAATATCTATGAACAGAATAACATCATTAAGAAAGAAACTAACACTTCGTTTGGGACGGCTTTCTTACTGCTTCTTAAAGCATCTTTTTAATACAAAATTTTTGTACTAGAAAGATGCTTTAAGAAGCAGTAAGAAAGATGTCTCAAATAAAGCCTAAATCAACTGACATGTATACCTGCTTTAGGAGATGCGCCTTTTTTATTACTGGAACCAATACAACTGCTCTCATTCTTAAAATGTGCTATAAATTTTGCTGCTTTTGCAGCGGCATTATTTGCAGCATTAGTAACCGATGGAGGAGGAGATAGAAGCCGGGTATACTGCATTAATAGCTGAAGGGAGGAAACCAATCCATTTCTTCTAGAAGTTGGCTTGTTTATTAATATACTCTGTTCATAATTACTTTTATCAAAAGCTGTATCAAGTTCTTCTTTCACAATAGAAACAATTACCAACGGAACAATGGATAAAAGCATGCACAACCGAGCATCAAGGTGAGGTATAGGTCCTTCCCAAGGTTCACGGTCCTGAAAAGTATACAAAGAAGTGAATAATATTTCTAAACAAGTTTCTAGTCGTGAGAATAAAAAAGAGTTATCTCAACTCGTTCTACAAGCCTTAGAGCAGAAATCCAAAGAGCCATGAAAGTTTCTTGCCAACAAGCTTGGTTGACCATTTGCAATGTTTTTGTCATATCTGCATCATTTGGTTTTTTTTAACAGGCCACATCAAAGGTTAACCAGGAACAATCTAAAATGTGCATAAATTCAAGAAAAAAAAATACTTTTAGTATCTACGGGTCAGAACCTTTTCAGTAGAATAATGCACCTGTAAGTATTTCAACAACAGAAATAGCATGAAGATGCTTTCCATCCATAGCATTTTCCATAAGCAAATCAAATGAGATCCAGGAATTGGACCGATTAGTTCCCAGCCCATAATAGTAAGAAGTAGGACCACCAAATTTAGAATCAATTAGAAGGCCAAGTACTTGGTGTCTATTTAATTTGTATTCCCCGTTCACAACTTCCCGAATGTTTGAAACTAATCTAACAAGAACATGATTAATTGAAATCAAGCTCTGTGAAGTTGACCTGTGAACTTCAATTAACTGAAGTCTCTCCATAAGGCTGTTGAACTTCATAGGCCTGAAGCCCACAAGAATTTTAACATCAGAAGCCAGTACATGGAAGGCATGATTGAAATGACACAGCAATAGAAAAGAAAGATAAAAGCAAGAAAAGTATTAAAGTAATAACCTGTTCAGAGGCAGCATGAAGATAAAGAAATGAATTCTTTTTAACACTCAATTAAGGCTTCGTTTGGGACGACTTTCTTACTGCTTCTCAAAGCAGCTTTCTAGTACAAAATTTTTTAATTTTTGTACTAGAAAGCTGATTTAAGAAGCAGTAAAAAAGCCGTTCCAAACTAAAACATAAGTAGCTTAGTGTAACACTTGTTGTTTACTTGCCTTAGCAATTTAGTTTCAATGCTAATGAGTTCTATTTACTTGTTTGTGTTACGATTCAATCTTTGTAGATCTTCACAGAGTTGAATTACAGAAGCAAGAAGTAGTAGGCGGGAAAAACCACTTTCCGTCTTGGATGAGCTGGCTTATTTATATTTGATTTTCAATAATTCTGTTACAAAACATGTGGTTACAATTACTTAAGCGTACTTAGAAATACATGGCTAATATTAGACCACGTGTACATGAGTGGAAAAGTAAAGTTAACTCTATATCTTAACACCCTCTCTCAAACTGATATGGGTATCGCCTGGATCAGTTTGCTTGACGAAGTGTTTCTCCAACGATCTGAGGCTTGGTAGCGTCTGAATTAGTTTGCTTGCAAGTGTTCTGAAGCGAAGAACTGGTAAAGGTTTTGTGAATAAATCTACTATCTGATCATTTGTACATATGTGATGTACTGTCAGCTTTTTGTTTTGTATGCAATCTCTAATGAAATGGCAATCAACTTCTATGTATTTTGTTTTGGTGTGAAACACTGGATTGTTTGCTAGAGCTATCGCAGAAGTATTGTCACAGTAAACTATAGTAGGTTCTTTTTGATGTATATGAAATTCTTCTAGTAGACTTCTTAACCATATGACTTCTGTTGTTACTGTGGCTAACGCTCTGTATTCAGCCTCTGTAGACGATCGCGCGACTGTCATCTGCTTCTTAACCTGCCATGAAATTAGTGATTTTCCCAAAAAAATTGCAGTATCCTGATTTGGATTTTCTATCACTGGTATTACTGGCCCAATCTGCATCTACGTAACTTCGTAGAGTAAGTGAGTTTTTATATAAAGTTATACTGACATCAGTAGTACCTTTAATATACCGGAATAGTCGTTTGAGAGCTTCAAAGTTGATATTCAGTGGTTTGTGCATTGACTGGCTCAATTGATTTACCGCAAATTGAATATCAGGTCTAGTTAATGTCAAGTATTGCAGTGTGATGGACCTTGATTTGTAATTTTCGGAATCCAAGCAAAACAGCCCAAAAACGATGGAAAAATGCGAAATTTCTTGGATGAAAACACTCACAAACACTTCAATAACTTGAATATTAAAAGACTTACAAGTTTCCACGGATACAATGCTCTCAATTCGAGAAGAGAAGCTTTCTCCCAAGCCCTAGAGAAAAAGAAAACTAAAACAGCCACCAAAATGAGATCCCTCCAAAAAGCCACCCTAACTCACTTTTAACTTTCACATGAACCCCTCAAAATCCCCTCATTACCCCTAGGGCAAACACCACAACCTTTCTCTTCAATTTGGTGGGCCCAAGGGGCCCACCCGAGAGCTTTCCCCCCCTCGGCTTGTCCGCCCAGGAAGGCGGGTTCTCCGCCTGCAGTAAGTGAGAACCGGCCCTTTAAGGGCCGGTGTTGCTATGGACCGAACCGGTCCATCACAGTGCTCCTATTAACTGCCTGTAAACTTGAGGATTTTCAAATTCTTCATGTGATTTTTCTATTATGATAACTTTACCTGACATTGGTGTTGCCATTGGTTTTGTTTCTTGCATTCCGGCTCGGTTTAAGATCTTTTCCGCATATTGTTTTTGATGTAGTATAACTCCATAATCTGTAAATACTGCTTGTAGTCCAAGAAATTGGTTTAAGCCTCCGAGATCTTTCATTTGGAACCTTTCATTTAGATTTTTCTGCAGCTTTGCAATTGCAGTTTGTGAATTTCCAGTTAGTAGTATGTCGTCTACGTATATTACCATATACATTCAAATATCATCTTTTTGATATGTCAGTAATGACGGGTCTGCCATGCTAATTTTGAATCCAACTTCTTGAAGATGATTAGACAGTGTTGCGTACCATTCCCGTGGAGATTGCTTGAGCCCATATAAAGCCTTTTTGAGTTTGCATACATAGTTTGGATGAATTGTGTCTTGAAATCCCATAGGCTTTTTCATGTATACTTTTTCCGTTAATATACCATGTAAGAATGCATTTGAGACATCAAGTTGATGAATTTTCCAATTGCATTGTAGTGCAATGGTAATGAAAACACGAATTGTGGTTATTTTGGCAACTGGACTGAATGTTTCCGTGTAATCTATTCCAAGTTCTTGATTAAAGCCTTTTGCTACTAACCTGGCTTTGTATCTTGCTATTGAACCATCTAATTTCACTTTGGACCGAAATGTCCATTTGCAGTCGAGTATATTCATTTCAGGTGAAGAAGGAACAAGTTCCTATGTTCCTTGAGCTTGAAGTGCTTGAAATTCTTGTGACATAGCAGCTCTCCAATGTTCTGTTTTGAATGCTTGATGATAAGTTGTTGGTTTAGATGTTTCTATGATATTTGCTAAATCAAAAACTTGCTTTGGTTTAATGTTGCCACTTTTAAGTCTGGTTATCATCGAATGTTGTACCTTGGCTGGAACTCTTAACATAGCTTTTTCTGTTTGATTATTTGAGTCATTCTGAGACTTTGAGTATTCTGAATATGAGTTTTGAGAGTTCTGTCTGATATCTGCAATACTAGTGGTGGCATTTGCACTTGATTGATCTCTTTGCACAGTATATAACCTGATTGCTTGAGTTGTGTCAGCAGTATTCTTGCTGACTTCTTGATGTTTGGCATTTCTTTTTGGTAGGTTGGCAGTAGGAACGAGTAGTAATGGTGGTGTAATAGTGGATGAGGATTGAGAGTTATGGTTATGATCAAAGAATTGTTTCTGTTGTAGTGGAAAAACTGCTTCATTGAATATGACATGACATGAAGTGTATGTTTTGTTTGTAATAGGGTTATAACAGCGGTATCCTTTTTGGGCTGAAGCATACCCAATGAAAACACACGGTTGTGAGAGGGGAGATAGTTTGGTAGATGAATATGGTCTAAGCCATGGATAGCAAAGGCTACCATAAACTTTTAAGTGCCCATATGTGGGTGGATTACCATATAAGATTTCATGTGGGGATTTGTTACCTATATTTACTGAAGGTAATCTATTGATGAGATAGTTTGCTGTCATTAGTGTATCAACCCATAGATGCATTGGAAGAAAGGCTTGTATATGCAATGTTCTAAGTGTTTCTGTTAAATGACGGTGTTTCCTTTCAGCAGTACCATTTTGAAATGGTGAATAGAGACATGTGTATTGATGCAAAATGCCATTATGTTTTAAAACAACAAGAAATTTATTGTTTATGTATTCTCCACCCCCGTCTGTTCTAAGAGTACGAATTGTTTTCTGAAATTGGCATTTTATCATGTTCATGAACTCAATGAATTTGTAAATCACTTCAGATTTTTGTAGTAAGGGATATACCCAAGTATATTTCGAAAAGTCATCAATGAATGATACATAGTATCGATATCCTTGGGTGGATATGGAGGGTGATGGACCCCATACATCTGAATGAACTAATGAAAAAAATGATGTACTTCTGTTTTGAGATACAGAGTGTGGTTGACGATGACTTTTAGCAACTTGACAAGCATTGCATAGCTGATGCTGATGCTTATTAGAAATGAAAACATCTGAATGTTGTTTTGCTATTTGAGTTAAAATGTGAGAGGATGGATGTCCCAGTCTTCTGTGCCAGAGATCTGGTATAGTTTGAATTGATACTAATGCTAGTTTGGAGATGTTATTGGCAGGATTGGACTTTGTTTTAAATGGATAGATTCCATTAATATAAGGTCCCGTGAGAAGAGTCTTGAGCGTCTTCTGATCCTTTATTTCGTAGCCATGTGCAGAAAATGTGATGAAGCAATTATTATCAGTAGCCAATCGGTGAACTGATAATAAATTGAATGTTAAATTTGGAACCAGATTTATATCAGATAATCGAAGAGTACCTAAAGGAGTATTTAACAATCCTTTACCCGTATTCTTGATAGTCAGTTGTTGTCCATTTCCTATAGTGACTTGATTCTGTCCATTGTAGATTTGTGAGTTCTGCAGGTGTGCAGGATCTGATGTCAGATGGGTAGATGCTCCACTGTCGAGGTACCAGTCTGCAGATTCTGATTGTGATTGCGAATTGAAGAATGCAGTAACTGGTTGTTCTGTATTGTATTTTTCATCATGTCTATACCAACATTTTACTGCTGAGTGACCATATTTTCCACATATTTGACATGTTATAGCTGGTCTAGCTGTTTTACCTCCTCGATTTGTATTTGTAGCATTTGTCATGTTTGCATTACTTGACTGTGATCTGTTGTTATATGAATTTCTTCCTCTATAGTTGTTTCTTCCTCCTCTGCTACGTCCTCTTGGTGCTGCTAAGGCTGTGGAATTGCCCGAGAGCTGTAGTGACTGAAGTTCTCTGCTAGCTTCCTGAGCAAGGTTAATTTCTTCACTACACAGTAATGTGTACAAGTCGTCCAAGGGTAATGGTTGCAGGTTTGTCCGAATTGCTGTTTTAAATGCTTGATACGTATTTGGCAATCCATTTAGAGTATAATGAATGACGTCTTCATCATCCAATGTTACCCAGCTGCTGCAAGTGAGTCTACTTTCGTTTTCACCTCTAGCAAATATTGTCTCATCGTTTTATCTTTCATGGCTAGATAATTCATTTCGTTTTTGAGTTGAATTATTTTGGATCTGGTACTTGACATGAGTCTTTTATCCAGTGTATGCCATATGTCTGTACTGTGTTCCACGGTAAGCGCATATGATAGTATTGTTGGAGAGATCACCGAGTAAAGAGCTGCTGCAAGATTTTGATCTAGTAGATTCCAATTTGTATATTCGGGATTTATAATGTTTTGTTCGGAGATGTTTTGTATGAATTTTGACGGTGCTTCATTGCTTCCATCCAAAAATCCCTCAAAACCGTTTGCTCGAAATAATTTGTGTACCTGTGATCGCCAGGTTGGGAAATTTTCTGCAGTAAGTGGTTGAGATATGACGTTCTTGATGTTTCCCATCAAGAATTTGAGTGAAGATGGAATCTGCGGTAGATCGGTCTTGATTGGAGTCGCTATTTCTTCTTCTTGATTTGTAGAAGACATTGTATATGAATTTCTCATACACTTTCTTGATTTCTCAGATGATCGGAACGAACGAAAGATGAAGAGAGAAAAAAAAACTTGATATCTGGATCAATGCTCTGATACCATGTTACAATTCAATCTCTGTAGATCTTCACAGAGTTGAATTACAGAAGCAAGAAGCAATAGGCGGGAAAAGTCACTTTCCGTCTTGGATGAGCTGGCTTATTTATATTTGATTTTCAGTAATTCTATTACAAAACATGTGGTTACAATTACTTAAGCGTACTTAGAAATACATGGCTAATATTAGACCACGTGTACATGAGTGGAAAAGTAAAGTTAACTCTATATCTTAACAGTTTGTAGGAGCTCGTGCTGTTTTGGAGCTCGAACAGGAGGATTGGAGAGCTTGCAGATATATCAGTGTTTTAGAGAGTTTGGTGTTCAGAGTATGGTGAACCTTTTTTAAGAATTTGTGAGTTCGAGAGTCTAAAGAGGTGTTGTTGGTTGCACGGTGTTGAGTTGTACATTCTTAGTGCAAATATTATTTTTCTGTATTTCATTTCTAATTGCTTAATTAATTAATTAACTAATTAACCAAAAATAAATAAATTCTCTAGTTAATTACATTAATTAATTAACTAATAATAAATCTAATTGCTCTCACTTAATTAATTAACAGGCCCTCAAATTTTAAACTGCTCACGGATTTTAAATGCTTCGTGGATTTTTAAAATAACCAACCAATAAATTTTAATTAATTTCAATTAATTAATCAATTAATTTCAACTAATCAATTAATTTAGATTAATTAATTGATTTCAATCAATCAATTTGGTTTTAATTAATTAATTCTAATTAACTAATGGGTTTTCATTAATTAATTAATTTTAATTAATTCCAATTAAGTAATTTCAAATAATTGATTATTTTTAATTAACCAATTTGATTTTAATTAATTAACTTTAATTAATCAATTAATTTCTATGAATTGATTAATTTTCATTGATCTATTTTATTTTAATTAATTTAATTTAATTTAATTTAATCAATTAGTCATCAATTAAAATTAAAACTTAATTTCTCTCTAATTGAGTAATTTTCTAAAGCAATTTCGGCAATTTCCCAACGTCCCCTCCTTGCAAGGAGAGGTCGAGACGGCCTTGCCGTTGTTTCTTTCTACCCGGATCAGAGATCAACAGCACGGGATCTTTGAATTTTAAACCAATCTACCTGGATCAGAGATCAACGGCATAGAGTCTTTGGATTGAAATCGTCCCTCCGGGATCAAAGATCGACTGCGTGGGATCTTCAATTTGGGATTTTTTCCGCTTGGATCAAAGATCAATAGCACGATCTTCGATTTGAAATTCATTCAACTCGAATCAGAGATCGACGCTGAAGGGTCTTCAAATTTGAATCCATCAGCCCAGATCAAAGATCGATGGCACGGGTCTTGAAATTTCAGCGAATACCTATTGCTTTTATGACTGAATTAAAACATGTTTAATTACAAATTGCTTACACCTTCTATCAATTAGGGTGGCTACATATGCCAAGGGAATTCAATTAATTAAGAATAAGACAACGTATTATCTTATTTTAATGTATAATCTAAGGCAGTTCTTTCATTGCAAGCAGATGGGCAGATTATTGTGGTTTCTCTATAAACAGAAGCAATTAGGAAGTTTACTGGGCTCACGAGTATAGGAATAGAGGCAGTGAGTGAGTGTTTGGTTGAATAGAAGGGTGAAGGCGTATGTATGTTGGCACGAGTGGAGTCGGACGTTGTAGGCATCGTAGCGGTGTAGGCTTCCAATCAGAATAGGAGTCGGAGGTTTTGCGGATGTCGGAGGCAAGCAGGTGACCGTGCGGGGTTTTGCGGACGGAGGTAGACCGATCGGAAGAGAGGCGAACATGCTAGTGCGTTCAGTGCTTGCACGAACGAAGGGGCGACGCACGAGCTGCTCGCGGGTCACATTCGAAAGGAGGCTGGGGCGCCGGGAACAGGCAGATCGACGAAAGTTTATATAACCTATTTATTATTAGCAACAAATGTCTGATTCCAACAATGACTCTTCCAGAAATCTATATTACTTCCCAATTGAAAACAATTGAAAACTACAAGAAAAAGTATAATTATTAAAACAAAAATACAGCATGTGAATATAAATTGTCTACATCAATTATTTTTGAAAATTACATTGATATATATTTACCAATTAACTAAATGATATTAGAACAAAAAAATCATAAAGTTTGACAACAAGAAAAAATCCCAAAATCAAAATAATAGTTCATCAAATATTTTTATCAATTCTAAATAATATAGGAAAAAATAAACCATAAATCTTGATAACAGATATGAAAGTTAAGAGGAGGACATGTAAAGTATCTTATGGGCTCAAGATGTCGATTTCACTTCAAATAGACTGCAGATAGATTGTGCACGCAGTATTCAGCATAACTGGTGTATGTGCTTCCAGTGAAAATTTTTTCAAATAATATCAACAAAAGGAAATTTATGGGTGAAGTCATCGAATTCACTTTACATGATTTAGGACGTGAAGGGAGCTACGACTGGCTGGGAGATTGCTAGGGGAAAAGGGGATTTTGGTTGGTGCTGCAGTTGGAGGGGAGGAAGAGGAGATGGGAAAGGGGAGCTAGGGAATTAGAGTTGAAGGAAACGGTGTACAAGAACAAACAGCGGGTCAGTTGAAGGTTGTGGGTTGGGTTGAGGAATCACAGATGGGAAGAGAGGGCTCGTCTCACAGGTAGGTGCCGGTTGGAGAGGCAATTGGCATTGGAGCATAGGAGGAGAGAACGAGCTGCGTGCAAACGGCAATGGGGTCGCCTTTTGGGGTTGTGAAGAAAGGGATTGAGTATTTAAGAATGTACGGGGAGAATTGAAGAAGAATCCTGATGATTGTGGGATTTATTTGAAAAATCGAAAAACAATGGCATTATAATAAGCGTGTTAATTGTAAATTAAATAGAGTAACAACGGAGAGAAGAAGGGCCATGTTGATTATGGGATTTAATTTGGAAAATTAAGTAACGAGGAGAAGAAGATGCACTTTAATTGTGGGATTTAATTTAGAAAATCCAGCAATAATCGAGAGAAGAAGAGGAGCATTGATGTTAGGATTTAATTTTCAAAATTGAAGTTGATATTTTATAAAAATTCTTATATATTTTTTGTGTGTGAATCTTCCTTTCTATTTTATATTCTTTGCCCTCTCTGTTTATATCAATTTCACCAATTTCCTAAGATTCTTACAGTGTCTTAAGCCTCTTTTGAAGCACACACTTCACTATAGAGATATGCAAAACTATTAAGATGAACAATATTTATTAACTATTTTCTGTTTTGAAATCAACAATCTGAATGGTCCTTTATCCTCCTATGATGACAAACAACTAAAGATAAAATTAGAACAGTTATAGCTTACAAGCATTCTTCATGTTTGTTTTATTTGGGCATCAAGGCACACTACTTGAGAGTATTGGACAGATATGGTCAAGGTATGAGTTATCTATAGTTTGCTTTTTCCATATAACGTATTATTATTAGTATATAATTAATTTTGGTAACACAAGCTTAATACTTCACGTAGGTACTTCCTCGTTTTCACCATCTAATCGCACTAAAAAGCAAATTGTATTTCAACAACATCTGAGAGTTTATGAGAAACAAAATGTGAAATAATATGAATGTTTGAAAAGAACAAAGAAACCAAATTAAGAGCACATCCTAATTAAAGATGTTTGAAATAAAAACAGTGAAATTAAGAAGGAAATAGTACATACATGTTCAAATGAATGAGCCGAAAGAAAACCTTGTTCTTCTTGTCTGCTGTAATTTTCTCCACTACTTCTAGTGCCATTAGTATATTAGTCTTACGAAGCTGTTCACGATGTTCTTGCATCTTATCATTCATGTTTCTTTTAGAATCTATGTCCAAATCTCGGTAAGGTTCATTAGCATACAAATTTGTAGGTCTCTCTACAGATAAAAACTTGATACCCAAGTCTTCTAGTATGCTATCCATCAAATTTGTGATGACTGATAAAAGAAAGAAACTCACGGCCTGCCCAAAATCTAGTTTATCAATGCCATACGAATGAGAAAGTAGTAGAGCTTCGTCAATAGATTTTGTTATCCTGCAAGTTAATATCAATATATGGGCAGTTTCAGCTGTAGGCATGATGGATTTAAAAAAAAAACTGATATAAATATCTTGTGTAAGGAAGTTGGTGAGGAATGAACAGCTTTATCACACAAAAAACTCAGCCAGATGAAACGACATTCAAAGCTAAAAATAAATGAACAGAAGGAAAATGTTAAAAGTTTGGATTCCATTTTATAAATTCTTATTCTTCCAACATTCCATTCAATATTAGTGTTAATGTAAACAGTTCATTTTAGTAACTTCGGCAAAAAGAATGATCAACCTTTTTTTTTTATCACCAAATTCTTGGTAAAGATTATTTAGGGACTTTATCTCTTTACACAAATAAGTTTGTTTTTTTTTTTTTCAAACGTAATTATGTTCATAGAGGCCAATACAAATCTTGCAAATATAAGGAAAATATTTCTAGATTAAATCACAAGATAAGTTAAGGGATTTCTCTACAGTATCCATCAATTTATAATTTCAAGTTGCCCATCAAAATAATCCTCAAAAGATTGGGTTTTTATGGCTAGATAATATATGGTTGTCAAAACATTAATACAAAAAATTAAATAGATTCAATTGTCACATGATACCGGCATCTTAAACAGCATTTAGGCTTCGTTTGAGTCAAATTTCTTATTGCTTCCTAAAGCAGCTTTCTATTTTAAATTTTTTTAGTTCAAAAACTTTTTGTAAAAAAAAAAGATGTTTTAGAAAGCAGTAAGAAAGCGGTCCCAAACGATGCCTTCATATTCATCAAATTAGTAGCTTCTCAAATAGCCAACATCTTTAAAGAAAGGATATTAAGACCCAAGTTAGTTTTTAAATCTCTCACTGCATATAAGATTAGGGAGATATAACCGATTGGAAAGGAGGACTTTAAAGGCTACACGCCAAACCTCCAGCAGAATTGTGAAGGTGGAGGTTTGCAAATTCGTCAATTCATGCATCTCAAATGGGAATTGGAGCTTTCCTTGTCCATTCCAACTAATTTTAGTACCATGAGAGGTGCCATCAATTGGTTAGATCAAGCAAAACTTAGATAGCCGGGTAAGCAAAAGGGATGCCGTTATGGAACAGGATTTATTAATCAAATCTAAAATGTTGAACGTATTCTGCTTCGGAATATCACATTTCCAGGAGTAGAGTTGCAAAGGAGGGGTAGTTCAGGCCCAGGTGAATCAAGAAGGGATGCTCAATGGTAGTTCAACTTGGCTGGATCAGTATGATGACTCTAAATGTGTACATGCACAATAACTCTAACAGATTGCGTTACTATGGTTGAAAAAGAAAATAAATAAATAAAAAGTTGGTTGGCTAACACCCTATCGTAATAGCTTTCAAAAACAGGACTACATTACCATTCGGGTGTTAGGAGTAAACAAATTAAAAAAAAAAAGATAAAAACTACGAAGAAAGAACACCATAATTTATATGAAAAACTTGAAAACGAGAAAAACCACAGAGCCACTCCACACCAAAAAATTCACTATCAAAAATAGGGAGAAACAGTACAGATGTTTCACTACTCTCTCTTGCATTCTTTATACTCTTTCATACTTCCATACGGTTACAACCCACACAATTTAAAAAAAAAAAATCAGTATGAAAAAAAGGCAAAAAATTGACTCAATGGGGTCTACAGCACCTTGATGTTCGACCCACAAAATTGATATATGATTCAACAGTATAACTCAGATTGATCAACACAATCACACTCCACAAAGAACTAATATGGGGTGCATAACTGGGGAACAAAGTGATTGTTCTTACCAAATTAAAATGTAGATTAACATAAACCAGCTTCTTTTTTTAATCATAACCAACGCCTACCATCAAAACCTTCCCCCTCTCCACAATTTTTCACCTCTATAAATAATTTATCTCCAAACTTCCTCTGAAAGGTTCAAGGGGAACTTTTTTAAATACTTCTGACCAACCAAACAACCTTCTGCTCCATAGGTTGAGACTCAGCAATTAATTTCATGTATTAATAGGTCTTTGACACGCAAGATTATTTGGCCTTAAAACGATGAAACCAAGGAAAAATACCTTGCCAGAATAAAAGATAACAGCACACTTATATCATATGCTCAAAGAAAATACAAGGATAAAAGATATTTTAGGCTTCGTTTGGGACAGCTTTCTTATTACTTTTTAAAGCATCTTATTACAACAACAACAACAACAACAACATCAAGCCTTTATCCCACTACGTGGGTCCTGAATGCATAAAATATTTAATATCCTATGAATCATAATATCTATTAACTCCATTAATTTAAAGCATCTTATTAGTATAAAAAATTTTATGAATAAATATTTTTGTACTAAGAAGTTGTTGTAGACATCAGTAAGAAAGTCGCAAGTCGCCCCAAATGAAATCTTATACAACAAATCAACAACTAGAACTCTGACCTCATGCTAACATAGTAAAAACTACCTTTAAAGAGCTTAAGGCGAGATAGGCTTTTTACTTCTAGCACTGCTCTATGAAACAAATTAGGAAAGGCCAACACTTCTTTCCAATAAAAAAATAACACTGCTTGAGAATTGAAAGACATTTTTTATTTTTTTTGGACATTTAGGTCAATTAAGGTAAATTTACATGCACATTGCATACACAAAGACTCAAACCTAAGACCTCTTAGTTTGTATTATAAGCTCTAAACCAATAGGCCAAGATGAGTAGTGTTAAGGACACTATTCATTTTATGAAAATCGGGAGTTCTATAAAAAAAATATATAACTTTTTCATTTGATTTTTGATTGAGATTTGAAAGAAAATAATTAAAAAAAAAAGAAATATTATAATAAATTGACATGTAGACGTTGTAGGAATAAATGATTTAATTTTTTGTTCTTTTCTTAGATTAAAAATTCACTTATATGAACTCGCTCTAAACACGTTCCTCTCATTTACTGTTCTTCGTTGCTAATGTGTTTGTTTTCTCTTCAATTTTTAAATCCTAATCGGAGTATAAAACAAAAATCAATTAGATAAAACGTACTTATCTCTCCGAGAACCAAATTCCTCCAAAGATAACGACACGCCATATCGACCAAGTAGCTCCAAGTAAAGCCTGTAAGCCTCCGGCTGCGCCCGGCGATGCGGAATCACCCTAAATACGCGAACAAAATTACCATAAATCCAAGTAAAACTAAAAAGCACTAGAAGCTCTTTGTCCGTACCTTGATGTGAGGAGCGCAAGGATATGCAGAGGCGAAAGCAGGCGGGCGTGGATGGCTTGGTCGAGAAGCTTCCACAGAGACGGAGTATTGTTTCTGAAACATAAGAGGGAGACGAGTACTTGTCCTAACTCCGTACTCGGCCCCGCAGTAACTCCGACGCAGCGTCCAGCCTCAATTGCGCGAACCAGCGGCGGGTCACCGCGCTCCTCGGAGGCCTTCAAGGTCTCCATCACCCGCCATTCAAGCTCCGCAACGGCGGCGTCCATGGATGCGCCGACGACGTCGTTGATCAGAAAATATAAAAGCGGGGAAGTACTTTGGGTCCACGAATGACGAAAGCTTAACGTTTGAAGAAGCGGGTCAAAATTGATAGGAAATTTTCGTTTCAGGTCCTCCTAAATTCTTAAATTACATGAGTTATTCAAATTGTGCATTCATAATGCCATAATGCACCCTCTCTCGAAGAATAAAATGATGTCAAGGGTCAAACGTAATCACAATTGAATCCTAAAATGCAAATTTTCGGTCATTTATCGGGTCATTTATGATGACTTTCGCTGAAGCGAGCAGAGGATCAAGGACCAATTTATGCTGTGAGTCTGTAAGCAATACGGCCTTGCCTTTTTGTCAAACTTTTACTTTCAGGGAGAAAAATTATGCGACAAACGACAAAGATCGGACGGACAAACAAGTCTTATCAGGAAATTTTTAAATAGTTTTTCGGTTATTTTTATACTATCAATTTAGTCTCAAAATGTCTTTTTTTTTTTTTAATTTAATCCATCGATTACATCAAATTAATTCCAAATGATTTTTTTTTATAAAGCTTAATAAAAATGGGATAAAAAGGTGATTCCAATTTAGTCTCTTAATTATATTATATTAATTTCAATTTAATTCTAGAGGGGTTCTTTGTGGCCAATTTTATATAGTCAATGGTAGAGGTGCCAAATTCGGATTACGGATCGAACTTTGAACTTATCCATACTATTCGGATCAATCTGATCTTGACCTGTTTTTGCAAACGAGTTAGTTTTTTGGACCCGAACCCGCCCCGCTTCGGGTTCGACAACGGAAGTCACGACAACGGAGCGACGGCAATGACGGCAGCGGCAGCACCAGGCGATACGACACATCATAGCAGGCAGTGGCGACGCGTTGTAGAGGCAAGGCAAGGCAGCGGCGAGCGCGACAGCGACAACAGCTCGCAGGTAGCGGCTAGGCGTGGCAGCAGCATCGCGGGAAGCAACAACACAAGGGCAGCGGCATTGCGGGCAGGCAATGTAAAGCGGGAAGTGACTTGATCTGACGCGGGCAGCCGGGTCATTTCTAGGTTTCTGGGTCAACCCGACCCAACCCAATTTTTGAAACAGTTCGAAAACCCTAACCCGAACCCGGTTGAAAACCCTAACCCAAACCCAACCCAGTTCAAGGTCGGGTCAACCTAACCCCAAATTTCCAAGTCATGTTCGAGTCGTGTCAAATATTGACACCCCTAGTCAATGGACTAAATTAAGAAGAAATTACACCGACTAAAATGATCACATATGCATAACCGAGGAATTATCTTAGACTTTTTTTCTATTTTTAAGGTCATGCTAATCAAAACAATCATGAGAATATGAATCAAATTTATGAAATTAATTATAATTTAAACCTTCATATTTGAAGTTGTTAAAGTCCTTAAGCCAATGTGGTTCAAAATAGTTCCAACTCGCTAAATTTGGTCAAAGGATTTACTAAGTAACCCATTCATTAAGAACATTCAACCAAAAAGAACTCTTCAGCTTGCAAAAGGTACTCGTAATTCAGAACTCATCTGTTGTTTCACTAGAGTTGACTTCAATCCTAGGTCAGCTGCCATACAATTAGTTACAATGGGTAACTTATTCATTTCATGTGTAATTATATCAAATTGCTTGATTGGTAACATTGACCCAAATCTTTGCTTATAAGGTAGTAGAGTTCAAGTGAGAGGCATACTAAAATTATGCTAAACCTCTTATCTTAAGAAGTGCTTATAATCTTCTTTGATTTTAATAAAGACGCATATAGTAAACTTTTATAATGTTGTTGTCATAGTTACCTCTTTGATTATCGGCTTTTAGACTAATAATATTCTTATTAATTCTAAGAGTTTTATACACAATTATATTTAAATTTGTTTTGATAAGATGAATCTCAATCTTTTTAGGTTGTTGCACACATTGGATCTCTATATGACTTCTTTGCTGAGTGACATGAACTAAAAGGCAAAAAACACATCACCTATCACTTACAGGGAGGAGACCTCCAATGCATTAAAATTATTTATTGTCAAGGCATCAATTATGGTAATGTAAAAGGAGACTTGTTATAATTATGAACATGTCATTTGAAGGTAGGTATTGTCTAAAAAAAAAAACTTTAACTTGAGGTCTAAATAGGAGCTTTCCTTTAGGCTCTTAAGGAAAGTGAAGAAGTGTTTATCTTAAAGGTTGACATGGGTGAATTAATACTTCTTTTGACAAGGAGCATATTGAGATTAACTTGATGACTACCTCTAATTAAATATTAATATTTTATTGGTATTGTAATATCAAAAATCTGCTCCAGGATCGTCCAGGACGATCTGGATCGTCCGTTCAGGAACCAATTCCAAAGCCAGATCCTGGATAAGAAGGTTTTGTCGCGGTCCGACTCGGGCGGGATCCGTCCCCGTCGGGTCGGGTCGTGACAGGTATGTAGTCGAAATATTTGGAATTTATATAAAACTTTATTAACATTAACAAATCAGCTAAGTTTATATGACTTTGGTAGACCTCATATGTTATGAGGTCCAAATGTTAGTAGAAAGTTGACTGAATACTGGAAATTCAATACCTAAACAAGAACTAAAGTGTCATCATGCTCCAATAAGAAGTGGAGGATGTGCATTAACTTCATGAACCTCAATTAAGTATGTCCTTGCGGTAACTATCCACTCTCATGAAGCAACACCACCCTCATCAACTCTATAATCAATTTACGTGAAAAGTTTTGTTTTTTTTTTAATACATCACAAAATTGAGATGCATTCACCTTAAGAAGTGATGTTTCCTTTCATTATCAATATTGAGTTGAACTTGTAACATCATTTTGACAAAAGAATGTTGGGTGACTTACCAATGAATGTTGGATAACATTTTCAAAGAATAGATAGGTCAAAACATCAAAGTCTATGTTGAAAAGCTACTTCTAAAAAGTATGACTCTACATCAACATATTGCTAACCTCTAAAAGATGTTAAACACCCTGAAGAAGTATACTATGCATATCAATGCACTTAAATGTATCTTTAGGATAAGATTATGAAAGTTATTGGATTTAGGGATGAATTCTAACAATAGGCATATTAAAAAGTTCGACATTTATTAAAATCTCATATTAAACTTTAAGTGCACTGATATTCTCACACACACACACACACACACACACACACACACATATATATATATATATATATATATATATGATTCAATAACTCTAATATTTGCTCCATATTTATTGCAATATCTACCTTCTTCCCTTTAAAATCCCCTTGAACTTCTCCCTAAAGAATTTCAAATGAAGTTTCTAACACATCACTCTTGTATGTCCAAAGATCCAATGATATATATAATTAAGTTTTTTTTTTAAATTATTTATTACAATACATTTCCCAATATCTTTTTGTTTTCACATGTTCACACTCTCAATATTCTTTCAATCCCCTCCATTACTTTCATTAGAGGGCTTGCTACCATAATTTTTATTCTTTTTTTCAATAGCCATGATGATCATACTTATTTGATTGTCATCTTTGATGGAGAAGATCATAAATTCAATGGAGATATTGTAATACTTCTAAATAATGTATTTCATAAAAACTAAGACATCTTCTAGTGGTACACCAATCTTTATTGTTTATATCATGAACTCTATAGTATAATATAATACTATTTGACATTATTATTACTGTAACCTTTTCCACTTCTTCATCTTTATTTCTTACACCTTATACTGTAAAATTCTTATAAAATAAATTACTTGAATTTCCTTAGAATAACATTTTGACTCTCATGTCTGAGATGAGTGTTTCACCATAAAATTGCATGCTTATTGTGTTTTTGGAAAGCATGTAAAAGCTTCATAAAAAAGGAATGTCCATAGAGTTTGAAATATGTATTGAGATGATACACCCATGTATCAAGCTTCTTGATATCAATAAAACCATTAAAGGCATGATATCATATTTTAAATGTTGGTGCCATCTTATAGAATAAGGCATGAGATAATATTTTAATTATCTCCTTTCTTTGCAAACTATTTATAGGCACATTATTATTGTCATAATAAGTCCTTTATTTGGGATCAATCCCCCATGAAGATGTGCTTGCTTAACATCTCCATCATCACAACCATTTATTATTAAAGGAGTGTAAATTTGCTAGTCAAGTCACTGGAGGTTTTTCCTTAAGAAGTTAACATCATTAGGTTCCCTTGTTTTCTTTTCTTGAATGATCTAGAGCAAAAAAAAAAGGTTCTTTAGTCTTCTTATTGTCACTTTTCATTAATGCCATATACAAAAGATCTTCAAAACTGAACATTATGATATCAGCTTGATTTGAAAAAAAAAAAATCTATTGGTCACTAGAAAGGGATTCAACCAACACATATTGATATATTCTCAAAAAATTATCTTGATTGGGCACGAATCTCGAGGCAAAAAGCTAGTTGGAAACTTCAAAAATTAATTCGGAGACCATCTGAACTCCGATTTTTGTAAACTTACTGTTGAACTGAGCGTCTCGTAAATACGAATCCAACGACTCCAAATTCGACTCAATCTGAGCCCAAATGAGTCCAAATCAAGGACTCAAAGCGCTGTTGGAAGCTTCATAACACTTTTTGAGTTACCAAACGGTCTCCAATTTTAACGAGCTTATACTCGAATCGAACGGCTCGACGAGACAAATCCAACGAACCCAAGATCGTTGAATTCCGACATCATTAAGGCCTTCAAATGTCCAACGAACGGTCCACAATCAAGAGATTCAATATCGGCCGTCCATTCAAACCACTCTCGATTTACCCTTGATCTCTCACCTATTTACGGGCCATGCCACTCCAGAAATCTATAAATAGACCCCTCATTTCTCTTGAAAAGGGGACCGAAGCAAGAGGAGAAGAGGAGAAGAGAAGGAAGAGAAGGAAGAAGCTCCTCCTCGACCACCGCCGGAACTTTGCCGGACCACCGCCGGAACCTCGACGGACCACCACCGGAGCCTCGCCGGACCACCGCAGGAGTATTTCCGGACCACCGCTGGAGCCTCGCCGGACCACCGTCAGAGCTTCGCCGGACCACCACCTGAGGCCCTCACCTTTACCTGAGGCCTCACCTTCGCTAGAGGTCATCACCTTCACCCGAGGCCCTCACCTTCGCCGAAGGCCCTCACCAACACCTGAGGCCTTCACCTTCACCTGAGGCCTTCACCTTCACCTGAGGCCCTCACCTTCGCCTGAGACCCTCACCTTCGTCAGATGCCCTCACCTCGCCATAGGCCCTCACCTCCACCAGAGGCCCTCACCTTTACTAGAGGCCCTTACCTTTGCCGGATCATCATTAAAGGCCGTGTGCTCCATCAGGACACTACCTGAGGCCCGGACTTCTGTTAGGCCACTACTTGACGCCTAGAGTTCTACCAGAGTATTGCCCTACTACACCGATCTTTCAGACCCCGGTCCCCTGCCGACTACGGTCCTCCCAACCTTCGTCGCCTACTATGGTCACTCCGACCTCCATCACCAGACAACGATCTTTCAGACCCAGGTCTCCTACCGAATACAGTCCTCCCGACCTCCGTCTCTTACTATGGTCACTCCGACCTCCATCACCAGACAACGGTCTTTCAGACCCCGGTCTCCTGCCGACTACGATCCTCCCGACCTCCGTCGCCTACTATGATCACTCTGACCTCCATCTCCAAACAATGGTCTTTCCGACCTCCATCCTATCGACTATGGTCGTGCTGACAAAACAAATACATCTATTGTAACTCCCACCATGTAGTGCACTTTATATGATGTACATTTGTGACATCAAGTCAAGGCCTTCTCCCTAAGAAGGGCTCATTTGTAATCGATTACAAATACTAGTGGATTCATTCAAATTGGGCCTGACCCCATGGTTTTCCCCCCTTTTTAGGGGTTTTCCACGTAAAAACTATGGTGTCTCTTATGAATGTTTCACCCACTTTCTTACTTGCTTGTGTGCTGGATCTTCGTACAATGCTAAGACATTAAACTATATATTTCTCTACCGTCGCGAATACTCCAGGACACAACACATATAATAGGCAAATACATGACTATAAATGTAATACCTAAGATAATTTTAATCTATGTAGGAGTTTAAGTAACTATGTTTTTTCTTAAGGAAGAATTAATTAATTATAATGGGACATACTTTCTTGAATTTTCTTACTCATTAATCAATCTTCTCTACTTTTGTGAGTTCTCTCCCCTTCTTTTTTTTAACAACATATTTTTATATTGGTGAGGGATGTTGGGTTCTTTAAAAGACAATAAATTTTATTATAAGAAAAAAAATGGAGTGAACTTCTAGAAGTTATGAGAAAGCAATGTTAACTTTGTGCATCAAGGGCAAGGATAAGAATTTAATTACACAACAATAATCCTCTTAATGAAGTATTCGTGTGGCTCTTGGTTTATAAGGTTTCATATGAAATTTTTTGAGCTCCACTTGACCTCTTGATTATTTTGTGCTTTGATAGATTTTTCTTGGTAACATTCTAAACTTATAAATTAGTTGTCTACATATTTTCTTAAAAAGCCATCTGATCTCATAATTAACATTCCTTCTAATAAAGAATTTAGGGGACTTTGTATGAGTACACTAAAGTTTTTAAATCTTTTCTTCATATGAATATTGAAAGGATATGTAACTTCTTAATTAAAGAGTATAGCTTATGCTCTTTGATACATGCATAAATAGAAGAACCAAATACCCTTAGAATTGAATAGTTTAGGGGATGACATGAACATTCCTCCTCAAGAGTCCTCAACTCAAATTTCCTATAACAATAATAAAAAAATAATATTTGAAATTGTGTATGCTTATACTTCCAAAATGTTCTTTTATATGATAATTATTTCATTGCATGCATATTTTTTATTTTGCATTCACATTTACATTTAATTTTCAAAAGCTTCCTGCAAAAGTGAGATAAATAAAAAAATATAATAAGCTTTTGAATCAAACGCATTTCAAAAGAGAATTTAATAAGGGTGACTATATTTTAACTAATAGTAATCCCAAACATTATACTATAACTAAATATAAAAAGTTGAATGCCAAGGATTGTAGCACCTTTAAAATTGAGAAGAAATTTAGACCTAATATATACTAAAAATTTTATCATGACAAGTTTATTAGTCTTATTTTTAGTGTTAAATATATATTTCTTATCAAGGAGTTATACTAATTAATGATTTATAAAATAACCCTATTACAAGAAATTAGGGGTTCATTTGTGAACTTTCTTATTGCTTTCTACAGTGAGTTTCTGATTCAAAAATATAATTCAAAAAATTTTGTACTAAAAAATTGCTTTAAAAATCAACAAAAAATCTATATGAAATGAAGCCTAAGACTATCAGTTGTAAGTGCCACTCCATCCTAATTTCTTAGAAATTTAAGACATCATATCAGATGAAGCTTTAACCACCTTATTTTTCTCATATAATTTTTTATTTAGATTTTAATGACTAAAGAAAATCTAGTGAAGCTTGTACCAAATGTCGTGGATGATTATATTAATTTATCTCTATAAAATATATATTTTTCAGTTTCATTGGAGATGATGTTGAGCAAGTTTAACAAGTGCCAAGTCAATCACAATTTCACAAAAAAGGCATTCATTAAGCAAGATAGTCTTCATCAAATAATTCATAGAATCCAATGCATGATGGGCTTGATCTAAGAATGGATGGCTCCTTTTGCCTAAGGAAACTACAAGAATATATCCATTAATAAAGAAAGCCTCTACTCACTTTACTTTTGAGCTTTAACACCCTTTAACTAACTAGTACATGATAAATCAATTGGTGCATATCCTTCCAAATATGCTCAATCAATCCTTTGTTTCTTAGGCTGTATTGTTTTCTATTTATTTGCTTCATTGTAATTCTATAAAGCCATGGATCATACAACCCTAGATGATTACTGAAGAATTATAGAATGAAAAAAAAGTGCTTCTTTCTATTATAGAAGGCTTGGTGTTTATTCCCTATTGTCAAATTTTGATGATAATTTCATACAAATATTTATTATTTACAAACATAATTTTGCTCTTTACATCTCTCTCATATCTTTCTAAGATCCTAAAAATCTTAAACACCACTTCTCGACCTCCAAAATCTCAATCGATCTAAATCCCTTAAACAACAATCCACTCTTAATTGTCTCCTTCTCCATGCTAAGAGACCTTAATCCTTCTAGTGGTCGACCTATCACCCAACCCACTCCAAAACCTTACTCCTCCTCCGCAAGACTTCTCTTTCTTTCACCTTTCAATATAAGGTTCCTCCGCACTCAACCATCATCCCAAATCACCTAAGTCCCTCTTTACCACTCAACATAGACCTAAAACTCCACAAACTCAACCCCAACACGATCACAATACAAAATAAATCCAAAACTTTAAATCTAGATTTCAGTCTATCGTTTCCCACACTAAACCCTTACCCTAGCCAACCCCAATGACATCACATAGCGTACTACACTACCCTAAATCATATTCTACCATTTATTCACTTAAAAGATGCTTCTCACTACCACACATTATATTTATATCAGAGTTTAAACCATAACACCTTCTACTTCTCACAAATCTCATTTAGATTATGCCGAAATGAACTGCTTTGGGCTAATCTATCTTATAGTTGTTGATGGTTGATGCTACTAGGTGAATAGTTTATTACATGTGCTTTTTTTGAGATAGCTTTTTTTTACTTCTTTTATTATCGAAAAACATTCAATAAAAAATATACATTTAAATGATAGCTTTTTCTTGATTTTAAACTTTTTGCCTTTCAAAGTTTATTTTTATAAAAATATATTTGACACAGTGATGAATATAAAAATATAAAGTGACCCAAAATAAAATTTAATGTTTATTCATCTAATGATGAATTTCTAAACAATCTCTTATGAATATTATGCTATACCGATTATTTTGTATTATATTTAAATCCCACCACATCACTCAAAAAATCAATATTATTGAAAAAAAAATATTGTTAACAACCTTCTAATATATTTGATCACGTGTCTTCTTAAGGGGGTGTTTGGTATCAGATTGGATTCAATTTTAGTAGGATTTACTAAATCCTAGACTCATAAATCTTGAATTGTGTTTGGTATAACAACTTTTAAATCCTGTTAAATACAGAGAAGTTGTTAGACAACAAATTACAGGATTTAAAACAGTTAGAAATTTAAAATGGAAGAAGTAATATGAAACTACTTAATTCTCTTCCGCATCAAGTTATAAATTTATTTGTTCTTTATCACTTATTATATAATAATTATTCTATTTAAAATTATATTTAATCCTACTAATTATTTAACTAATAATCCAACTAATTATTTAATTACTATTTTATTAGTTTTAATTATAAATTATATTATTAATTATCTCATTAATCACTTAAGAATTTTAATGTTTATTATTTATTTAATTATTATTTATATGTTTAAAAATGTATATTTTAAATTATATTAATTAAGATAAGTATACTAATTTTTTAATTATTAATTATATTACTAACTATTTAATTAGGTTAAATTAGATAATTAATTTATACACTAATTATACTATTAATTATTTAATTAATTTACTTAGTTATTAATATTTTAAATTATATTAATTAAGCTGAGGCGTCTAGGTTTGCTTTTAATCTTCTCTTGTTCGTCCTTGCTGTTCGGCTTCGTTGCTTCGCAGTGTAGAGATTGCGCGAGTCGCTTCTTCAGCTCCTTCGTTTGCTGTTCGACTTCGCTCCTTCGACGACGTTCCCTTCCTGTCGGATCGGACGTTACAACATTTTGATCTGAAGCAACGACGGGAGCTCGCTCGCTCGCTGTGAAGGTAAGTTTCTCACTTTCGCGCGCTTCTTCGGCCAAATTCCGTAAATACGCTCTTCCTGTAAGTTGCGTTAAATCCGAATAGAAAAGGGATTAGGATTTACGAGGATTTAGGGGATTTACGGCGTAAATTCGTAAATGCTTCACATGAGAATGAATAATGAAATACATGCTTCACATGAGTCAACCCTATACTCTGGTGAAGCATGTATGCTGAGAATGAATAATGATGTACTCAAATGGCTAGATTATGCTACCTAAATCAATGTAGTTATCGCAAGAAGTCTACTTACAAAAAAAAAAAAAAAAAACACATTTCTTATAGGTTTTTTTTTTTTATTAATTACATTTCAAGTTTTTGAGAGGGAGTTTAAGGAAAAATTGAATTATGGTGTTTAACCTTAAAGTCTAAAGATTGTCGTTTGAGCAAATCTAAAACCGAATACATTGAGTTTAATTTTATAGTAATAGATCTAGTGGGGGATTGTGACATTGGACAATCAAGACATTAAAAAGAGTACACATTTTAAATATTTCTTTTCTATTTTTCAAAGTAATTGTGAAATTGATGGAGATGCTATTAGTAGAATTCATGTTGGATGGTTGAAGTGGAGGAATGCATCAATGTATTCAGTTTTAGATTTGCTCAAACGATTACTTTCAACATGAATTCTACTAATAAAATCTCCATCAATTTCACAATTACTTTAAACAATAGACCCGAGATATTTAAAATGTGCACTCTTTTTAATGACTTGATTGTCCAATGTCACAACCCCCCCACTAGATCTATTACTATTAAAATTAAACTCAATGTATTCGTTTTAGATTTGCTCAAACGACAATCTTTAGACTCTAAGGTTAAACTCCATAATTCAATTTTTCCTTCAACCCCCTCTCAAAAACTTGATATATAATTAATAAAAAAAAACCTATAAGAAATGTGTTTATTATTATTATTTTTTAAAGTAGACTTCTTGCGATAACTACAATGATTTAGGTAGCATAATCTAGTCATTTGAGTACATATTTCATTATTCATTCTCAGCATACATGCTTCACCAGAGTATAGGGTTGACTCATGCTCTTCTCCGTTTTCATATTCCTTTTATCATTATGTTTCTTTTACTATCTTGTCCAGTGTATGATATTCTCCTTTTTTCAGCATTTTCACCCTGATCAAAGGGAAATTTTGCTCATTTCCAGTAGATGAATTTAGTGGGTTCTTGTCTTGTGCAGATATTCTACTGAAATGGGCTTGTGGACATTGTTCGAAGGACTTATGCTTCTTGCAAATGCATTGGCTATCTTAAATGAGGACAGATTTCTTGGTCCTAGAGGATGGAGTTTCTCAGAGGTTTCAGCTGGAGGCCGATCAAAATCTCTCAAGGGGCGATTGATAGGGCTTATATACGCTATTCAATACTTGCGAGTTCCTCTTATTATTTTGAACTTAATTATTGTGGTTGTGAAGTTAGTCTCAGGCTGAGGTGAGGTTATTTGTGAGTTTCTGCCATTTAGGGTAGGTCATGCTATGTGATCTTTAAAATAAGTAAAAGTACCTTGTTCTTTGTTTCTGTGAGAATAGTTGTCCTTTATAGAAACCCTGAATGAAAGTAAAAAGCTTTTACTGTTAAGTTGCATGTATTAGGTACATTTTGTTTGTAAAGTGAAATTGTTCTCAGTTTTCAAAAATATCTTTGTATTTCTTTGAACAGATTTATTGGTTGCTTTAACTAGATCTTATTATACAATCAAGGATTGCTAAAATCTTGAATTATATGTTTGTTTTCATCTCAATCGGTGCATTTTTTGTCATTTTCCTCACTATCCACTATATTACCACTATACGTGGATCATGCTCGTTTTTTATCTGTACATGTATATTCTTTGTTTCATCTATTTAGGCAGGTGTTAGTGATTAACATCAACCTTACAACTAGGTGCAGATTTGGGTTACTTAATGTGGACTATGTCCAGATTTTCAAGCATTTTGCTGTCTATAAATTTGGATCTTTAACTAATATATTTCAAGGCCGAGTAAAGCCACAAGGGTGCAGGCTGTTTTATTAATTAGTTTACTATTTAACAGTGATTATATTCTAGCAAGTTTTGAAGTTAAAGATCAATAGTTGCTTGGATAATTGAATAGTTTTTCAGATGTTTACTGTACACAATATTATTTCAACCATATGCACAAATTCCTCAAACGGAATCAGGAGGGACAAATTTCATGTTTTTGATGGACCGGTTCAACCAGTCCATCCCTCTAAACCCGTGCGGGTCTACAGAAGGAGAAGGGGAGACGGGCGAACCCGCTGGGAGCAAGGACATAGTTGTTGAGGAGGTTACATGATTGTTGAGGAGGTTACATGGTTGTTGAGGAGGTTTATGGTTGTTTTGGAGGGGTAATTTAGGGAGGTGGGATGAATTTGGGATGGTATTAAGGGAGCAATTATGGTTCAGTTTTTAGGCATGTTGATTGAAACTTTTCTATTGTTTTCTTTTTGTTTTTTCTAGAGTTTGTATTGGGAGACATTGTCCTTCTCGAATTGGACAAACTTATCTTATTTTCTTTTGAATTTTAATAGAATTATTTTTTTGTTCTTCATCCCATTTCTCTTGTGATTGCTTTTTTTTGGATTTGGTGGATAAATTCTCTTCATTTGAGGGGAATTAGAGTAAAACCGAAATTGAGAAACCCTAGGGCGTATCAGTTTTTTGTTTCAAAGTACCCTGCTTTTTCCTACATCATGCTTGTTGAAAAATATGCTAGCTAATTACAAAACAACAATGATTAATATAGTGGAACAATGACATAAACTTGTGAACCTTGTACTCAAAGATTTAAGACGAGATGTTTACCTTGACTAGAAGAGGATTGTAGTGATTTCTGATATTAAGTGAAGTATGATGTTTCTATTGTTCTGGAACCTAGAGTGAGAAGACGCTTCAAGCAGAAAATAATAGGTTGAGATGGATGATCTGTCAAGCATAGTACGAAAGAGAAACAGAAATGCGTACCATGAGATGGGTGGAGGAAAGTGGAATGTTTGGTAACTTTGTATGACTGAGTTACAGTCATCTAAGGGATTGGCTCAACTTGAGTTCGAGAGATTATTTTGTGCGGACACCGGACGGAAAACCGTCCGGTTACGCTCGGTACCGAGTGCGGTACATTTTTGGGGTGAAGTGAGACATTTTTATTGGTCTCCGGACACATGTGGACTCCGCACGGAATAATAAATCCTTGAGTTGGGCTTGGTTTGGAAGTCTGTTTAGTAACATTGCATGACACAATTACAATCATCAACTAACCATTTATAGCGGAATTACATTCACCAACTTAATGGGACTTTGCAATGATTGTTAACCTGAAAATGACCTATGATGCAGATCGATTACCACCATAGGCTATACCTCAATTTAGATATTACACTTTAGACATTCTCGACTATTAACTCCCTGATGAAGCTGATTCTGGCAATTATGTATTTTCTCTTATTTGTTTAGGTTGTCATTTTGACTATCTTTTTTTTATTCTAGGAATTATTGGACATTACACTGTATTTGGATGCCATATGAACTATTTAGGCATTCTACTCTAATGTATGCCCTAGAGTTCATGTCTTATAAATAGACCTCTTATATGATGTAATGGATGGCTTTTGGTAAATGAAATGAAAATTATGAAGCTCTTCTTCTCCCCCTTTCTCTTTCTTCTCTTTCTTCTTCCCTCCTCTCTTCTTCTTCACTCCTTTATTCAACTATAATATTGATATTCAAGCAAGTTCTGAATTCTTGATTTAGTGATTGCTCTTACATTACATTTTTTTTTTTGGGTATAGAGATCATTGTTTTATTGTGGTCAGATGAAAACTCTTTTTTGCTGATTACTGCAAGATTTTTTTAGCTTTACCAACTGTTTTCTGTTTATGCCGTTCAACACAACATGATAACAATTTGAAGTTTCAATATTTGTTACTGCTGTTTTTCTGCCCAAAACCAGCAGCCCACTTGATGAGGTCATCGATAGGAGATTTCGGCGCGTCTATCAGAGACGACCACGGAGATCGACGGCCATGATGGAGAGCCTCTATTACGGATTTTATTTGTACTAGTAGTTTATATGTTATGCATTTTTTTCTTCTTAGTTTCCCATTTTACCCCTGAGGGTATTAGTTGCTCTTGTAGCCCCAAGGGGCATTTTAGACTTTTGCATTTGCTTTTATTTGGAGCCTATTTATATGGCCCTTGTATCTTGTATGAGACTACTGGATTATTGAATGAAAATTGTGTTTTGTGTTCTCTTTGTGAGTGCCAAGATTTGGATCTCTTTGTGAGTTCCATTAGAGATCTCTTAGTGAGTTCTCGAAATCGTTACATGCTTCCCTCATCTTCTCTACCTACAACTCCCGCACGCAATACGCAACCGTGGGAAGGAGCCGAATTTTCTTGAAGCAAGTTTCCTCCTTGAAGCCCAACCGCCGGCCACCCTAGGCCCGCCGGCCGACCACCTTCTTCGGGTTTGAGTACGACAACAACGGAAGGGTCAACATCCTCCGATCACAGTTCTTCGACGTCGGTTTTGACTTCGACGACACCGTCGAAGAATACTTGGACCGGATCTTGCCGACGCTAGTAGATTCCATCGACGAACACTTCTCCGTCTACACGTGAATTATCAAAGGTCGATCTATCGTGCCCCCTCCGCCTCCGAGATCCTTCCCCACGGCGACGTTCCTTGGTACCTCCATCTTAGTGGCAACCTCGATGCTAGTCTGGACAATCTTCCGCCGTTCAATCTAGTCTCCGTAGGAAAGAGAGTTAAAGGACTCAAGGTGTGAACAACTCCGTATTAATTGTGGGATTTTTATTTACTAGCCTTTGCTTTATGTTTTCCTTTGCGTTTGCTTAAATGGTTTGGCTATCTTGTTGTAGTTTCTTTTCCTAGCAAGTTGAACATCGCGAATTTCTTGTAATCGACTTAACTTTGATACATGAATATATAATTCATTGAGCTAGAATTTAATTCTCTTTTAATTCTTGTGTAACTCCATCCATGCATCACATCATTTTGGTATCAGAGCATGGTTACCATGCTTGATATGCATAGAAAGCATCCTAGGGTTTAGTTCCTTGCGGTAGTTCAAAAATTTCATGCATATCATTGCTTAGATAAATTATTTTTCACTGTTTTGTTACTGTTTTTGGCATTTCCAGCAAGCATATAGCTGAATTAGGACATTCTAGCTAGCATCTTAGTGTCGGTCTTATGTTTGGTAGATCCCTAAGTGTCTGGAACAACTACGGCTTGAATTATCCCTGCTGTCCTCACATTTCTGCAGCTGATATTCACTGTTTAGGGAGTTGAAACACTTGTTTTAGCTGCTGCCATTAATCCCTGCAGTGTCTACAGTTCGTGGGAATTACTATCTTAAGTCCTAAGTGCTGTCCACACATTAGGAGTCACTTAGAATAAGTTTCCCAGTTGTGTACTGTTGCTGTCAACTCAAAATCTGCACTTGTTAGAGACTTATAGTTGACCGGAAAGTTGTCCTAGTTGCTGTCCACACTTAGCTTCCCACCTTAGACTTGCTAGACGCGTACCACCTTGTGTTAGTTTGCTGTCCTTTGTTTTCCTGCAGCAGTTAGGAGCCTTAGGGACCTCCTCCCTTAGCTTATACTTGCTGCCCACCTACCCAACTCTTCCTCGGGAAACTTCTAGACTTTCCCCATGGACCCGCAGCATCTCCAAAATACCCTGGACCTTATTTTGGGACAATTGGGCACCGTTACTCAGCAAATCCACAACACCCAAACCGATCTAGCTGACTTTAGGCGCCACACGAGTGACCGATTAGATAATATCGAGCGTAACGGGAATCCTGCGATCTATACTCCATCGAGACCTCACTCACCTTATGGCGAGGACAACCGACCCGATCACGAACACCCGCGAGATCCCGGACATTTTCAAGACCATTACCAACGCAACCCAAGGCCACATCAAGAGCCCATAGGGGACGACAACACTTGGAGAGACAACGACGCTCAATTATTGAAAAACATTAGGATTGACGCCCCAACGTACGACGGGAACCTTGACCCCAAGTTTTCCTAGATTGCCTCAAGTCGATGGATAGCTACTTTAAATGGTACAACATCTCGGAAGCAATGAAAGTCAGGTTTGCTGAAATGAAGCTCACGGGTCGAGCCAACCTTTACTAGACCAACCTGGAGAACATGCGTGAATCTCGGGGAGAACATCCGATAAACGATTGGAGGACTATGAAACATGAACTTAGGAGGAAATACTTACCACCGTCCTACTACCCTAAGCTTCTGGATAAGTGGAATCGGCTAACCCAGGGGAGCAAGTCAGTTAAAGATTACGACGATTTCCTGATTCGTTGCAATGGCGAGGAATCTGCTACCCCAACACAGATCCTGTCTATGTTTAGAGCTGGCCTTCGGGAAGATCTTCGCACTGAACTGTTTGCTAGAGGAATAGACACACTAGAGGCCGCCTGCAGCCTGATACTTGACTTAGAGGAGTCCAAAACCCATTCCCACACTAGGCAGTTCGACTCCCGACCCAACCCGTATCGCTCTTCCACCAGCCAGCCTCAAAGCCGACCCCCAAACTCGACCGGTAGCCGACCCGCTGCTAGTTCAGCCCCTCATCGTCCCGACCTTAAGGGTAAAGCACCTGAACGAGACACCCTGAAACCCAATTATGGAACCAAATGTTATAGGTGTCATGGGTATGGGCACATCGCCTCACAATGTTCCAATCCCTATAAGGTCACCATAATAGAAGAGGTTGATGACGACGAGGACGAACCCGAGACTGACTTAGTTCACCATGTGGATGAAGAGGAAGATTCTTTTACGGAGGATGAACCTGTCACCCTGCAAGTCGTTAGATGTGCACTGTCCCAACCCAAGCCGAGTGATGATTGGAGAAGAACAGCCATTTTTCACACCTTTACTAAGATCGGGGATAAGAACTGTAAGGTTATTGTCGATAGCGAAAGCTGCATCAACGCTGTCTCTTTAGCGATGATTTCTAAGCTCAACATTAAGGCCACACCTCATCCAAATCCGTATAAGGTCGCCTGGATTAACTCAACTTCCATGGAAATCAAAGATAGGAGCCTTATCCCGCTCGAGTTTAATGGATATCAGGAGAAGGTTTGGTGTGATGTATTGACAATGGATGTGGGTCAAATTATTCTTGTCCGCCCTTGGCTGTTTGACAACGATGTCCACATTTATGGGAGGACGAACACCTGCGTGTTCGAGCACAACGGAAAGAAGATTAAGTTGATTCCCTCAAAGCCCCGACCCGATAAAAGTGAAACTAAGGTTATTCCCCCTAAGCCTAATAAAGGCTTACACTTCTTAACTGCGAAAGAAGTGGACATGGAACTTCACCACGGGTCACCCATGTACGCCCTGGTAGCTAGGGAAGTGGATGATGATCATGAAGGGCAAGTCCCTGAAGAAGTAAAGCCCCTCCTAGAGAAATTTGCTGATGTCTTCCCTGAGGAGCTACCTGACCAACTTCCTCCCCTCAGAGACATCCAACATGTCATTGACTTGGTTCCTGGAGCATCCCTGCCTAACCTCCCTCACTACCGGATGAACCAAACGGAGCACGCTGAGCTAAAAAGGCAAGTAGATGAACTTCTACAACGAGGATTTATTAAAGAAAGCCTTAGCCCATGTGCCGTTCTTGCCCTCCTAACTCCAAAGAAAGACGGCTCTTGGAGGATGTGTGTTGATAGCCGTGCTATCAACAAGATTACCGTTAAATATCACTTTCCGATTCCCCGACTAGACGACATGCTTGATATGATGACGGGGGCAACGCTGTTCTCTAAGGTGGATCTTAAGAGCGGATATCATCAGATCAGGATCCGCCCGGGGGATGAATGGAAAACGGCCTTCAAGACAAAAGACGGGTTGTATGAATGGATGGTCATGCCTTTTGGTCTTAGTAACGCTCCTAGCACTTTCATGCGGATTATGACCCAAGTCCTACGACCCTTCCTCGGAAAATTCGTAGTCGTCTACTTTGATGATAT